AATTCATCAGTGCCAGAAGTTAACTTGAGGGAAAGCTATGCTAATTCAAATTGCTCTTGTCCATCCACTAAAAGTTATTAAATATTTTGCTTTGTGTATTCCAAGAGGAGAGGGAACTATTTTATTTGTGCCTTCATGCCAGAATTGAAGGCGGATCATTAAATTTTCAACGCAGCTTATAAACAAGCAGTAAGTCTTTCTCGTATAAAAGCAGTGGCTAAGAAGAAAAGGTTGATCAATCCTGAAGTTCAGTCATCGCACCTCAACTTGGCAGCAAGATCCCCAAGGACAGAGGATATGTTGTATACCTGTCCTGTAAATCAAAGCATTTTTGTGCCTGTAAAGGCTTAAGTTATTTGTGGTGTGTTCGGAGTGAGGCTATATGGCCGTTTTTGTTGTATGTTTATGTGGAGATTGAATATAACTGTGACCCTGTGCTTGTTGTATACTTACTACAGTCAAACAGGGAACCAGCACATTCACATAACATACTCACCTAGCACCTAACTCATAGCTGTGTCCCACAGGATTTGTACTTGTTCATCTCTCAAGCATTAACAAAGCACTAAAGTACCTGGCTTAGTTATCATTTCCCACATTTTTCTGAGCATCTAACATGACATACAGCAGTGCAGAGCAGCTTCAGAGAAGAAACACTTTAAACGCACAGACTCACACCAACCACCCAATGAGCCAGTTCCTCAGTTGACTGTTTCCCTGGATGCAGCTTGGCAAGGTGAGCTAACTGTTGGCAAGTTTAAGTTAGCAGGTAAGATTGAGTTAGGGTGAGTACCTACCTATAACTGGGTGCTACTGCCATGCAGGTCTTGGCTAGGTTGCAAATATGTGTGATGATTGAGGTTAGGTCAGCTGTCGGGTTAGTCAGGTATGCGCACTGTTCAATCAGGTCACATTTCTATGGACACTTGGGGCAAATTAAAACCTAATATAAGCTAACCCAACTAAACCTACACAATTACTGACTATAGGAACGAAGCACCTACCTACTTGTGCCTGCATCTCATACCATGTCAAAGTAAAGTTCCTTGGTGGAAGATTACCCTCAGTACTTTTTATCCCAGCCCTGTGGAGAAAACTAATACTTCTGAGTCACTGCTGGCCATCCACAGAAGAAAAAAACGCTGAAGCTTTGCCATTGTATACTGGACCAACAATCACTATCACAAATGACTAATGAACACATATGATAACATCGTTGCATGGATTGTCACATTGACAATTTTACTACAATCCTTTTTTCAAGAAATACAGTAATGATTAACAGGAAAATCAACATAAAGTGGATTTAGTGATCCAAGCTTTCTCCTCCAGTAGCAATGGAATGATCGCATGTTTCATTTGCCAGACACTGAGTACCTGATGCACATTACCGTCTGCATAGCATCTAATCACAGTAAAGCTCCCCGAGTCCATTCATTCTAGATTTTTCACTTGATAGTTAGCACTAACTTATCTTGTTGTTGTAAGTTATCATTCAATAATATGCACTCATCAGTCAACATTTTCTGGCATGATACTGCTCAAGTGCTCAGCGTGATCTTCAGTATTGATCCAAGATCTCCTGCAAAATTATAGCTTGTTTTTGGCCAATAATGATGAGCTCTTTTAATTTTACTTTTTCTTGCTGATATGTGAGCCCGATCAACCTGCGTTAATCAACCAAAATTTCATAACTTCCAAGTTCAACTTGATATTGTTATTGCTCAGGGTCAGGGTCAGGACCTCTGTCAGCCTCCTTGATACTTGGGATTGTTTTCATTCAACATGCTTCTTAAATATGATATACGTCAAACCCATCCAACAAAACGACGTACAAGAGTACCTACGGAAACCACCAGATAAACTTGAAAAGGGCCTTTTGGAACAGAGCCAAGCGGTGCTCCATTTGTTTGTTTACAATGACTGTAGTGCTGATGTATTTTTAGGACTCTGACGGTCGGCTTATAAAAAAATGAAACGTTTTTACAAAAGTTGTAGGGCAAGCAATATTTATCTGAAAGAACTAAAATATTCAAAAGCCAAACACTATGAAATACATGAATGGGAACGAAAAAGTAACCCAAAAATCCAGCCTAATCACCGGCTCCTAAAACTGCGACAAAGTCAACACTTTTCCCCGCAACTCGTTGTCCAGACGTAAATATGCCAAATGAACCTGCTGAAAGCTGCGGCTAGTCGATCTGTTGAGAGCATTGATGATTATTACGTCATAGATTTTCTGATAACCATTCCTCTAGCAATACGTTTACAAGAGCTGGCCATTTCTTCACTTCCGCTTCGGGACCAAGTTCGGGACGGTATATAGGGCCTTGTTCGGGACCTTCGGGACTCACCTTTCCGTGCTTCTATCCTCAGGATACTGAAATCCTTCTCCTCCACGCCGCAACCCCTCTCCGGGCTGGACAGGCAACTTTATCTCATGCGGGCTGCTCCCTTGGAGCGGCACCGCTGCTCCTGAGGGAGCGCACCCCGTAGCCGGGTGCAGTGAGTGCCTTGGGGCTGGGTGGCCTGTCCTCTGGACGGGCTCAGCCCCGGCGACTCACTAGGGTGCCTGCCCAGACCAATGTCTCCCCCTAATTCCTATCATCCTTCCGGCTCTGCAATGGTCTTGTCGACCGAAAGGGCCTAACCCAACAAAACAAACAAAACCTTCGGGAGTCGGGACTAAGCTAGTACAGGCTAGTAGAAGTACCTACGTCGTGGCACTGGCACCATCAAAATGGTTTTAATTGAAAGCAAAACATTTCATAATCCAAATCACATTCTGCCCATTTGGATCGCATCGGACTCATAACGTCGCACACTTTTTTTAATTTAGCTCGAATGTTTGAATGGACGGATTGACAGAGCCGGAGCCCACGCTAAGCAGAGCTTGTTGCGTAGACCCCGACCCCTACCGTCCGATCGCGCAATTCCGGGTAACGGGAGAATTTAGATGCCAAAGTTTAACGTGCCCTTCAAAGCCGGACACGGCCTGGCCCACTCAACTGACTTCAGCTGGCTGCGGCTGCTCCCACCAACCGCAGGCCATCCCCGCCAGGAGTCTCAAATATCGAGCGCCGGAGCGTCTCGAACCCGGGCTCTCACCACCGGGAGTCCGATGCTCTACCAACTGAGCTACGGGACAGGCATTAGCAAACTGATTAAAAAAAATTGTTCGGCTTCCCTACTCAAACTCAGTTTGATCGGTATCTTGAGGACACATCAAATGGGGGAAGGGAATAAAAAAAATGTTGATAAGCGTTGGACAGGTTTTGCCGGCCAATCCTTCAGTCACGGATTTGTAGCACTCGACAGGAAATAAGTAACAACTGCACGCGTTCATGGCAAAAGGCATTGTATTCCGATCAACAAGTAACTATCATTGCACCACCGTCGTCATTTCAGCGCAACACAATGACAAATATCCGTGACGATACCCGACTCAACTGAACATCAGCACGATTGATATCACGGTGGTCTCGTACTCGTGCAGTGCGGACATAGGTATCACAGCGCTCGGACAACAAATAATGGCGAAACAAAGAGACTAGCGTCCGCCGCCGCACAGCGGAGGGCTCACAGCCGATCTACAGCTCATACTAGGCAAGGCACTGAACGGGTACACATCGGGTTCCAGAGCATCATTACTGCGGAGCCGGAGCCGGAGCCGGAGCCGGAGCCGCCGGAGCCGGCATATTTTGCTCGGAGCCGGAGCCGGAGCCGGAGCCGTGAAACAATATAGCCCGGAGCCGGAGCCGGAGCCGGAGCCGCCAAAAAAGGGGGCGACTCCGGCTCCTTTTTATTTTTTGAAGAGGAAAAAAATAATTGACCTTAGTTCGGTTTGAAAGTAGGTAGAAGGCAGTAAAACATATGGTACTTACGTCATGGGCCATCAAGTGAATGAAAAAATCCGAATATCCCCAGTATTCCACAGTACGCAATCAACTTCCTGTTTGCTCCCCCCCCCCCCCCCCCCACGTCTACTACATCCCCAGAACATGAGGACCGGTCATCAGGTGACGGCCATTGTTTTCAAACCAGTGCAGTGGACTGCGACTCCCAGCACCGTCTCATCAGTGGTATCATCCCACCCACCCCCCACCCCCCACCCCCCAATGCAGCCGAGACGGGTGTCAGCTTACGATGGTTCACTGAACTCCGATTCGCGGCGACTGCGTTTCCAATGCCATCGCTTCCTAGCCCTTTGTTCTGCCAGTTCTCTCCGAGGTGCGTTTGCGCGGGGACGCGGTGAGCCGGTTATGACAAAGAGTAACGCGTATAACCCATCCAATTTTTTTTCCACCCGTATTTAAAGGGACACTCCCACCTTAACATTAGTTTTGAGTTGAGATAGCCAAATTGGTGGCCATGGCCTGCAAATACCGGTTTGGGCACTCACAACATCGACAAATGCTTTAATTCGGAGATATGGAATTTCAAACTTGCAGTTTTCGGATTCTAAGGGGCTAGTGCATTGGTATGCCCCCTTAGAATTTGTGACGTCAGCGGAGATCTAACGATTTTTAAATCTTTTACTAAAACGTTTGGTAGCACGCGGTGGTATATGCTGCTTTGCGCGCAACAAATGCCGCACTTTCAAATAATTCGCTAGGAACAGCGGAGATCCCAAAAAGTAAACAAAAGTAAAAGTCTAATATCTTGAAAACCGGTGAATATTTTTCGATGAAATTCGGTAGATATTCGTTTTCGCTTTTTCTGAACCGAGCGACATCACTTTCGTGCCAATTCATTAACTTTTTTGAAGGTGGGAGGGTCCCTTAATGGATTGCGTAGGGGATGTACTGAGTCGGAGCCGGAGCCGCCGGAGCCGGAGCCGCCGGAGCCGGACCATTTTACTCGGAGCCGGAGCCGGAGCCGGAGCCGCCATAACATTTCACCCGGAGCCGGAGCCGGAGCCGGAGCCGATTTTTTTCTCCGGAGCCGGAGCCGGAGCCGGAGCCGTCTGAAATTTCCACGGCTCCGCATCCCTGCATGGAAGGCACGAAGAGCGTGAGTAGAGCTCAGCAGCTTTCATGGAGCTCGGTGATGACTGCATGACAATCAGCACTGGTCAATCTCTGGACCAGTAACGGTATCGTTTACCCGTTTCCACTGTCACACTCCAAGATGGATGTCCAACTGTTCAGAGGCTATACCGGCCCCATCGGCGTTCCGTCCGTCATTTCATCCATCTGGGACTCAGGGGCTCAGCTTCATCAGACCTTCGAGGACTGGGGTACTCGATGTAGTCGCTCGAAGGCCCGCCGATCCCTCATCAGACCAGCTGGGACTCAATGTCTCAGCTAGATCAGACCAGCGGGGACTGGGGTACACGATGTAGTCGCTCGAAGCCCCGCCGATCCCACATCAGACCAGCTGGGACTCGGGTTCGATGGGCGGGCTGTCGGTGGCCGCCGAGGGCAGCTCCAGTTTGGCCAGTCGGATTATCTCGGCCGCCGCTCCGCTGTCTCCGCCGGCGGTGGTGGGCGCGGCGGTCCCGCCGTCCGTCCCGGCTTCGCCGACTGCCGCGCCGGGCCGGTGGTCGCCGATCGTGGGGCGCGGGCTGCGGAACGGCCGCCGCAGGCCCGCCGGCACGGGCGACACCAGGGGACTGATGGGCGGCGCCGGGCCGTACCGGGTGAGCGCCTGCAGCCGGCGCTGGGCGGGTCGGACCGAGCCGTCGCCGTCCGCGCCGGCACACAGGGCAGACTCGGCGGGACTCCAGCCTACGGATAGCGGGGGAGAGAAACAGACGGTCAGACAACGCCGCATCGGCGAGACTCCAGCCCGCTGGCAGAGGACAAAAACAGACGGTAAGACATCGCGTGGCACCAGTCAGACTGCTAGCAGGCAGACGACAGAAAGAGACAGTCAGAACTGGCAGCCAGCGACGTCCAACTGGTGGAAAACGATGCCTCCATACTAAAAGAATTTCATAGCCTCAGCTAAAGCCGGAAGTGAACAAAGAACCAGTGAAGGCGACTGTTCAGTTGCTAGGGTGGAAACAGAATGAATTGCTGGATATTTATTTAGGACATCAAACTCCTTAAAATGTTCACAATCTTACCATCAAACAGCTGATTTCCGGCAAAGGCCGTATGAGTCACATCGGAAATACGTGAATCAATCACAGCTGCAGCTGCTGCATACTCCAGTTAAGTTTATCCACTTCCTTGATTCCGTTACTGATAAACAGCTTTATCACCATTGTAAAAATATCAGCGTGTCCGGTTTTACCTGCGCCGGTGTGTGTGCCGCCGCCGGCCGGCTGTCCCGGCCCGCCCGCACCGACCGGTGTTCCGGGGGAGGGCGCCCCGCAAGGTACCGGCGACCGGAACGGACCGACCACCGCCGGGGACATGGTGCGGCCCGGAGCCGCCGCCAGCGCCGAGTCCAGCGCGGCGCCAGCCGACGCCTCGAAATCAGAGCACTTCTGTAAAGGAGAGGTGCGGGGTTTTAGCGACGAAAACAGGAAATAGATTGTCGAGCAGATTGCGGAAATGCATAGCTACGTCCGGCCAGCTGCGCTGCAGTTTCCATGACGCATGAATTGTGAGTTCATAAGCAGATGTGCTTCCTCTATCGAATTCCAAGACAGATAACATACGATGAATAATTGCAGATGGACTGATAAGCGAGCCATTGCAAAGCAGACTTTGTAGGGTCTACATCATATTACACCTGCCAAACGTTGTAAGCCAACGGTGTGATTTCGTCAGTTTCCCTCGCCATCGTGGCATCACCAGTCACTCTCAGCTTCAATCATTCAGTGTATCTCTTCAGGTCCCTCCTTAGCTGGTGTGATATCGTCAGCCCTTCTCCCCCTCTCCTCGCCAGTGCATAATAATCAGTAGGTAACCCTAGTTCCCTCAATCACCCACACAAATGTGAAATCATCACTCCCTCCCTCCCCCACCGGTGTCAAGCATCACCCGTCTCACCGCCATGGTCTCGACCAGCAGTCTCAGCTCGTCGGTCAGGTGCCGCGCCGTGGGTCGCCGGCTGACCTCTGCCCGGTCAGACAGGGAGCAGAGCGGCGGCCGGGCGCCAGCGGAGCACAGCTGGAGGTTGGAGAACGCCAGCACCGCGCCCGGCACCACCAGCTCGTCCAGACCCAGCGACTGCGACAGGAATATCAAACGGTCAGCGGTGGAGAGTAGTGGGTAGCTAGAACAGGCAATAGGGTACACCGTAAATAGCTACATTAACATTCAACAGTCAGAAGTATTTATTCAAGAATTATTCGGTAGTAGTATTCCGCAGTATTTTGGAATTGTTTTTACCAGGCTACTCCAACTTCAGCGTACAAATGTATGTAGTGAAAAGGCCATCTTCCTTCTGCACAATGCACAGTTCAATCCTCCCTACCCTACCTCACAAATGACGACCTACAAAGCCAAACCCACCGTCCTCACCTCCCTGCCCCTCCTACCTTCAGTCCTGGCCAGCAGACGGCCGCTAGCAGCGTGCCCCCGCGGTCACAGAGGTGCACCGTCTGGCTGTCCGCCGCTCCCGGCGTCACCCGCACCACCAGAGCTGCCACGTCCAGCTCGCCGAACGGAGGACGGCCGGCGGCCAGCGATACCGCAGAGGCCAGGACGCGCGGCGGGCAGCTCAGACCGGCCGGGCCCGGCTGGACGCGCAGCTGGGAGCCGGCAGAGAGCTGCAGCACGCCGTTACTGAGGGGCGCAGGGAGGAACGGTGTGAGAGCCGAGTTAGTAGAGATAGGTGGCATGTAAGAAGGAGAGCTCGATGGCGTGGTACTTCGTGGGGACGGCCTGGAAGAGAATGTCACGTCGATTGCAGATACTGCTGGGTGGAAACGGTATCATGCTATTACGACCGCCTAGCGGTGGGTATATGAGCACCAGGTGTATGATGGAACATGCCGGAAACCAAACATTCGCAAATATATAATAGCGATAATTCGATGATTAGCTCCCGTCAACCATTAGTCTTACCAATAAAACTTTTGATAACCGCTTTTTAATCGGCTTATCGCCCATCAGTGTGAGTGCGCCACATCCTGGGGCTACTACCTATCACTACACGTACCGTTTGCCGTTGGCTGTCACCCCCAGTAGGGACACGGATTTGCCCTCTGCCAGGAACGTCTGTAGTTCGTCTGACGGCCGCCAGAGTGTGAGGATGGCGCCACTGGCGGGCGCGTTATTCTTGCCGGCCAGTCGGACCTGATGGGGTCGGACCCAGGGAGGCGTTATTGACCTGTTGGGGTCATGTATAGTAGATGCATGATACAAACAGCACACGTCATGGCATGTACATGTTCATTGTTCAGCCCGACAGACTCGGTGATGTGTGACCGCACTTCCCACAAGCCAGCCCTGTGCCCCACCTTGAGGAGCGGCGCGGCCGGCCGCAGGGTCTGCGCCTCCTCCTGTAGCCGGGCTCGGAACTCTGCCTCCACCCTGCCGCGGTGCTCCTCCTGTCTGTGGCGCTGGTACTCGGACGCCAGCTCCTTCTGCTGGTCCGTCAGCAGCGCCTGGGGGCGGCAGAGAACGTTAGCTATAGCAGCAGATAGACAGCAGCGCCTGGGGACGTCGGAGGTCGTTTATAGATACATCAGCAGATAGATACAGCGCCTGGGACAGCTGAGGGATAGTTAGCTACAGCTGTAGATAGACAACAGCGCCTGGGGGGGGGGGGGGGGGGACGACAGGAATACCTAGCTATAGCAGGGGATATGCACTGGCAGCGCCTGGGGACGGCAGACAGCCACATCAGCAGATGGACAGCAAGGCTAGGGACGACAGAGATAGCTTCATCAGCGGATAGACAGCGGATAGACAGCAGCGCCTCATATTAGCATCAGAATCTGCGGCTCACCCACGGTCATCCAGAGCCTCTAATTACAAGCTGTTCTGTCAGCCACTCGTCTCCCAGCAGCTGTCCTCTCCCAACATTCCACCATTCCACCATTCCCCTCATCCCCTCACCTCGACGCTGCCGGGATCGGCGGCGGCCGCCACACACTCGTAGATCTGCTGTCCGGTGCTGAGTTGGCGGACGGTGGCGCGGCTGACGGGCCGCCGCACCACCCCCGCCCCCGCCGGGCGCTCCTGGCTGCCCAGCTGCCGCTCCACGGCGGCATACAGACGCTCCATGCGGGACTCACGGGCCGCCTCGGCCGCGGCAGCGCGCCGCCGCTCACAGCGCGCCGTCCGGAACACTGGTGAGAGGCGGGGACGGGGTGGTGATGCGCGACGTGAGAAAGGGGATGATGAGACAGCAGCTGAGAAATCATCGTAGAAAAAGGCTCATAAAACAGAGAGATACGTATAATGTAGTCACCTGCAATTTAAGTTCAATGATAATTGCTATATGAAAACTATGGAAATTTGACTTCATTTAAGTCAACAATAAATATTTCATCGCTACAAACTGAACGAATGACGATTCCAAACAAAACTTCCTAAAAACAGAGGCTAACTCGAAGTTTACCTTACCTCCTCCGCTCTCTTCCTTCTCGTAGTAGAGCATCGGGTACACCCGTGCCACAGCGACGTCCAGTCTGGCAGCCGAGCCGCCATCTGGCAGCACGGCGCTCAGACAGCTGGCGAACGGCGCCGGGTTGCTATGGTAACCGAGCCGCGCGTCCCACCGCGCGCGACGACACGAGTTGGTTGAAAACCGCAGAAACGTCTCTGAGGAAACCTGCGAAACGGGACAAAATGATTACTTAAATAAATATCAATCACGCGACAAAAAAAGAACTACAACCAGCAATTTGCTACCGGTCGGCTGACCGATGTGTACCTAAGTTTCTGAATTCGAGTACCGAGTCCGACTGTCCCCTCTCACCAGCCCAGCCGAAGAGCTCCGTGTCGCTCGTCTCTCACCTCCAGCGGCGAGCAGGGCTCCTGCTGCCCGGTAAGATACTCACAGCCCCTCGGTTCTCACCTCGAGCGGCGAGCAGGGCTCCTGCTGCCCGGTCAGCTCGGCGCCGTGCACGGCCAGTTTGAGACCGGGCCGCAGCCGGCCGAGCCGGGCCAGCCGCTGTAGGGCCGAGTCTCCCTGGGCGGGGATACAGTACCAGCCGTCCGACACCACCAGGCGGACGCCCTCGGCCGTCTGAAAAAGTAAACAAACAAGGCGTCATGCCGGTGTGCTGACATACGCCTATACTCATGATCAGTAACGGCACACACTACGCAACGTCATACATTATACAGTTGCATTGAGTTGCATCATGCCTGCATGTGCTCTTGCCTCTTACCGTGTTCACTTCCGCCACACAGAGTATGAGCGTCTTGGCGGCGGTGTCGTCGCCCTCTGTGATTCGGCGCAGTGCCGGCCTCTGACACCGGTCCAGCTCTCGGTCGTAGCGGTACCGCAGCTGGCGAACCACCTCCTCCACCGTCAGACACCTGGAGACGGGTCGGCGAGAAGGGTTTAAACGTGAGGACGGTGGCAGATGAAGGGCCGGTATCCGGGTTAGATGTTCCTAGCTGTAGTGTGGTCACCAGATCATCAGAATTGTTCAATGTTCAACGATCGCGTAAAGTCCGTTTTTCTCAATCCCGACCCTAACTGTATAATGTATATGCTTCTTTGACCACGGCATGATATCGATATTTACTAGGTGAATTACTTGGAAAACTGTTTAGCGCACATTGCATCTCCAAAGTCCAAGATAACAATACGAGCATAACTCCCAACCACCAATCTCAGCACACACCCACACCAAATAGGCAGTCACCCATCCCACCTGACCCACCTGCCGGCCATCTCATCTGGGAACTGGCGCTCGTAGGCGGCCAGCTTCCAGACCACGTGTCGGAAGGCGTTCTCCACCCATCGCTCGGGTACCAGGCTCGGTTGGACGCCGCAGGAGGAGAGGAGGGCGGAGCGTAGCTCGGCCACACCCACCGTATCGTCGTCGGCCGGCACCACCACACACCCGTCCGCGGAACTGGGAGGGTCGGAACGGCGGTCAGAGGGGTCACAGGGGTCAGAGGTCAGAACGGGTCAGGACGGTCACAGGGGTCACAGAGGTTATAACGGGTCAGGTGGGTCATAGGGATCACAGGGCAGAACGGGTCAGAAAGGTCACAGGGGTCAGAGGTCAGAACGGGTCAGGAAGGTCACAGGGGCAACGGGTCAGGATGGTCAAAAGCTAGAAATCAGAGGGGTCAGAATAGCGGGTCAGAGGGGTCAGAATAGCGGGCCAGGTGCCAGACGGGTCAGAGCCACGGAGTGCAGGTGTTCGAAGAGCGGAATCCGAGGAGTCGAAGACTTAGACGAGAATATATCAATATCCATAATCTAGCTACCTAGGTTCTTGATAGACAATATTTAGATAAATAGCTCGAGCGTGCACTGCCTGAAAAGCTAATTAGTAGCACAAGATTCACAACTACTAGAAATAATAAACATAAAACACCGATGAAAACGCCAGATTGATTGGCGATTTCGACTTAGGCCAATGCCTACGATGATAACCGACTCACATCATTGTCTCGGTGCATTTGAAGCGATATGAGGACGCAGAGGCGAAAGTAACATCCAGAACTTCGGCAGGAACGTCCAGTGATTGCAGCTGCAAGAGACGACAGAGCTCAGTGTGATCTTGAAGACAGCAGCCTCACATAACCCAGGTTTACGTAATTCGCAGAGCAACAACAAACGATTCACATTCAGTTGGTTGTTGCCTGTTTAGAAGGCGAGTACCATCCATACAAAGAGAGAAAAATGTACAGGTCATTCGAGCAGCTATGCGCGCTACATAGCCGTATTGTTCACACGATACATGCTAGACTCCAGATACCCCTTTACAAAGAATGGACACTGCTATAGTTCCGGGGTTCCTGTCACGAGCTTAACCACTCTTTCCAAAGGCAGTGACACGCCTCATGCAATATTTGAGTCCTTATCTGTCTTAACATACATCCAGCCGATATTCCGCCCTTGCCACTCACCTCGTCCCGAGTGAGGTTGGCGGGCCGCGGTCCCAGCGCCTCTCTGAGCGGCTTCCTCCCGGTGCCGGCCGCCGCCACCTCCTGCCGACTCTGCATCAGACTGCCGACCGATCGGACGACCCGCCGGTCCGCTCCCGCCGCCCGCTCCGCCTGCCGCCGCTGCTGTTCCGCGCGGACCTCCCGCCTGCCGTCTCCAGAGGCGCTCTCAGTTGGGGCTGAAGAGGCAGCCATGACCGCTGGAGGAGGTTCGGACGGCGGCGGAGCGGCCGGTGTGTGCGACTCCTTGGTCGGTGCGTGCAGCGCCGGTCCGCTCCTGTACGGGGTGCGGAACACGGCCGGCTGGGCCGAGCGGCGCCGGCGGCCGGCGCGCCCAGGCGTGCCCAGCACCGGGCTCGTGGAGCGCTCCTCCTCCGCCAGCCGCTGCCGATCGGTCACCACCTGAGTGAACTCGAACCGATCATCCAGCAGCTGAGTCAGACCAAATGTGTTCGACTCGGCCTCGTCCTCCACACACCGCGTATTGTTCTGATCGTGGTCAGAAGAGACGACTGTCGCTGGTGGTCCCGGGCTTGTTGCGATGTGAGATGTCTGGTGTGAGGTTCCTCCACCATCAGTCAGGCTTTCAACAGGAGCAGCACGGCTTTTTGCGACTGGAGCAGTAGTTGCGGTACTCGTCCGCTTAGACGCGCAAGCGTCCGACTGTAGATCCGCATTATCATGTGAAAGATCGTCACAGCAAAGGAACCGAACCTTAGGTTGCCGAAGAGTTGTCACGGCTGGTGCGACTGCTGCTCCATGGCTCGTTGTTTCGCTTACGGAGTGCTTTCCACCAACCGAAGAGTGGGCCAGTACTGGTCGGCGACGCTTCAGCCCCGGTCGCGCACATCTATCAACGTGTGGTATCTTAAAGGCACCAACTTCTGTTTGAGCCTTTTTCGACGCAGCATCCGTCACAGTCTCAGGTCGTTTGCTGTTGATGGAGGAGTCCTGCGCGACAGTTGCCGTCTCCATAGTTTCTTCCACACTGGCCAGCATCGCCTTGGCCTTCCTCAGGGCATCTTCAGATACCTGGACGGAATTCCCGCCAGCTGTGGTGAACCCACAAGGACGATCGACAGCCAGTCCTCTTGACGGGTCGGCGTAAGGTTCATGGCTGATACTGTCTAGCACAGCTTTTGCGTTTTTCAGAGCCACTTTGGACACTTCAACGGGCCTTCCACCAGCAGTAGAAAAACCACCGTGAGGCCGCCGATGTTCCTGGAAGGCACTCTCGCTTGGCATCGTTTCATCATCATCACAAATTGTCTCAACGTTCCTCACATTTGGTAACGTCTTTACGGAACCACCGCTTGTTCCGGCAATAGTAACAGGGTTTCCCAACCGAGATTCTGCGTTGTTGTCTGGCTTCAATGATTCGTCATCATTAGCAACACTGTCAAGAATCGCTTTGGCTCTCTTCAGGGCAGCATCTGATACAGTCACAGACTTCCCACTTGCTGTTGCAAAGCCTACATTAGGCTGACATGGACGTCCTACATGAGGCTCTGCGACGTTGTCCACATTCAAAGATGCGTCACATTCACTATCAAGCATTGCTTTGGCTTTCTTCAGGGCGGAATCTGAAACTTTTACCGACTTCCCACTTGCCGTTGCAAACCCAACAGGATGCTTCGTCTGAGGCTCTGCGACGCTGTTCATCTTCAAGGAAGCGTCACAATCGCTGTCAAGCATTGCCTTCGCTTTCTTGAGGGCAGCATCTGAAACTCTTACCGACTTCCCACTTGCCGTTGCAAAGCCAACAGGACGTTCTGCATGAGAATCTGCGGCGTTGTCCACATTCAAAGATACGTCACACTCACTGTCAAGCATTGCTTTGGCTTTCTTTAGGGCGGCATCTGAAACTTTCACAGACTTTCCACTTGCCGTTGCAAAGCCGACAGGATGCTTCGTCTGAGGCTCTGCGACGTTGTCTACCTTCAATGTTGCGTCACACTCACTATCAAGCAATGCTTTGGCTTTCTTGAGGGCAGCATCTGAAACTCTTACCGACTTCCCACTTGCCGTTGCAAAGCCAACAGGACGTTCTGCATGAGGCTTTGCGACGTTCTCCACCTTCAAAGATACGTCATACTCACTGTCAAGCATTGCTTTGGCTTTCTTGAGGGCAGCATCTGAAACTTTTACCGACTTCCCACTTGCCGTTGCAAAGCCAACAACAGGATGGGACTCTGTGACGCTTCGTGCCTTCAATGATTGACTCACATCTTCGTCAAGAAACGATTTTGCCTTTTCCAGCGCCGCGTCTGATACTTTGACAGGCTTCCCACTAGCTGTTGAAAATCCGCAAGGAACCTGCATCTCAGGATTTGAATTACGGTGTTCTGTCACGCCGGTCTTGAGAGAGCCTGCATGGCCAGACATGACATTTTCTTCAATTGTGGCACTGTCACCCGAAGCCTTCAGTTCACAGCGCATGGAAGCATCTATCTCAACAGCTGGATCAGAAATGTGATCAGCAAACACGTGCTCGGCATTCTCCAAGACAGCTTTCGAGACAACCACCGGCACTGCTGTGTCCGCGTTTGAGTCTGACTTGTCACAACTCGTAGGGTCATTGTTGAGATTCATGCCGCGACAAGCTGCTGCTGGAGCGGACAAGTCGCCGCCAGTTGATGGCCCATCAACCTCTCGCATCAGAGCGACGGCTCGTTTCATCGCCTGATCGGAGACAGCCAGCTTACGTCCGGAAGCAGTGCTGAAACCGGCGAAATTTCCACGATCGTCTCCTAATGCTGGCTCTGGCACATCTAGTGGGGGCAGCACGCCTGGATTCTTCATCTTGTCAGCACCAACAGCTCCGTCTGATTCGATTTTCTTGCTCTTTTCTAGAACCACTTCCATGGGTGATTGTGGTGCAAGAACCGCGTCTGGACGGCGTTCACGTCTTCGCCTCTTTTTGTGACTGGACAGGACCGGGGAGCAGCCGGGTTCATCATTTTCACTCTCAGGGTTATCGGCGGCGGACCACAAGCGCTTGGCCGGCGGGACGCGTCCAGGACGGTCAGGTGGCCGTCCGGCGGGGGTCCGATATTCGCTCCCCAGCGCCGGGAGGGCGCACCCGGCGGACGTCCTGCCGGGTACCGATGTCACTGGCCGGTTCGAGATATTCGTGTTCTTGGGGTCGGTGCGGATCATGCTTGCTGGTGACTGAACAGATGGGGAGGCAGTATGCGGGGTTTTCAACTGTCCCGTCACTGGCTGTAAACTGGGGACAGTACCTCGACTTGAGGTTATCGTCGCTGAGCCGAGTCCCGCGGCATGAACACTCACGTGACCGGAGCATTCTGCCCTACCGCTGTCAGAAGCCAGCTGAACAGCACCAGTGGTTTTCATAGTTTCACAGCCCGTGTCCGTGTTCTCATCACTCTCTTTCACATCGCGAATGGGGAGGGACGGAGTTCGCTCTTCACCCTTCACCGTCTTCTCACCACGCGCCACCGTCGTCGCACTAGGTCGGTCAGGAGTCACCCTGACTCGACACTGCGTGAAGAACGTATCGCCGTCGTCCTCGAGGGTTTCCATGGCGGTGACCAGGCAGGCCTCTACGTCTTGCTGCTCCGCGGGAGTCAGCGCCGCGTCTGCGGCCGCCGCGGGGCGCTGATCTGCCGGCGTCTGCGGGCTCCGAGCGGCGATGACGGGTCTCGGTCGACGACGTCTGTCGGGTGTATCGCGGGCGATCTGGCTCGCAGATGGGTACAAGAAGCGTCGCACGCGCGGCGCGGACCGAGAGGAATCCCTCGGACGGGTCGCCGCCGCCGGTGTGCCAGAGGACTGCGGCACAACATTTGTCGCGGCACTGCCAGAAACATCAGAATGGTTTGAGCTGATTAGTGGCAGTTGCTTTACCCCACTGCTGGTTTGGCTGAGGCCCTTTGGGGCAGCATGCTCTGATATCAGCGTTGAGCTTCTGTCAGCTAGGCAGCTGGATGGTGGCATTGGTGGTGCTGCATCTTCATCCCAGAATGCAGCATTCAGTTCTGAGTCCCAGACATTGCCATCTTCCTCCATCACCTGGTGAGATAAGATGATAGTAAGGTAAGATGATAACATGATTGTGAAGAAATGAGATAAGTAGGTGGCAGAGATGCATAATATAAAAAGCAGGTGTGAATGACAGGTTGAAACTTATTCACCACAACTGTGATGCATTGTGCAAATGATGATCAGTGAATGGTGCAAAGCTATTATACCCTTATAGCTAGCTAGAAGCATTAGCTAGAAGCATTTCCCTACCTCTTCAAACATTACCCTTATGATAACAGACACATAAAATTGTACCATGTAATGATGAAAAATCAGTCACCAGATATAAAATACACACATACAGCATAAACAGCATCTGTGTCACCAGTTGACAGTTGCAGCAGTTCAATTTACAGGATATGGGTTACCAGAGGGCACTTGAAGCAACTGGCAACAATTACTTCACAGTTTTGTCCAGAAAATATAGCTTCAAGCTTGCTTGGGATTATGAGAAAACTCAGGGCAAATTCCAAAATAAATGTTCCACATCCTTATGTAGTGCCTGACTAATCCCAGCAAGTCATACCCCGAGTTTGATAAAAAGATGTCTTCCAAAAACTTCAATGTGTAACAATTTCCATTAGTGAGCTTTCAGGAAAGGTGGGTGGTCAAAACTCAAATCTATCTCGATCTGCCACTATGTGCACTGCCAAGATGACCCTCAAGTTTACACCCAGTACCCACCATCTGCTGCAGCCCCAAAACTTGGCAGGCAGTACCTTACATTCTCAAATATCAACCTGAGGTTCTTCATAAAAATTTGGTCTAAGCCACAGCTCTGTTCAGTCACAGTTTTTGACAGCATGCTGATGCTGTTGATTTTTACCATATAAGGAAGGTATTTCTGGTGCTTCTTGGCCTCTCATTGATGAAATGAAGAGACTACATGAATTTGACCGATGAGGAGCCACGGAATCGCAGCATGCTCGCAGCCTGCTGATAAAAAACTGTAACCGAACAACACCCTGGGGTCGGAAACTGCCCACCCTGGTGAAGAAGTGAATCAACCACAAAAGTCCAACATTGATAAGTCAATGTGAAACTGTGAAACATGAGCAATAGGTAGGTACTTATCCAATCTGCAACTTTAATTACAGTTTGAGTTTGTTGGTTTATTTTTTTATTATCACATACAAGTGATTTACAAACCACAGTATTCTTACACAACCCACCACCTCATAACATTATCAGCATTGCTTTTCGAAATTTCATTTCAAATCATTCGAAATGATTTGAGTGCAAATGGTAGATAATAGCATTAAAATTCAAAGCACAATAGCTGCAAACAAATGTCGCCCAAATCCCAATGCCCACTGGCGGCTGGCCTCCTTATCCCGATTCTTGCCACTCTGAGAACTATATCCCAGGATATATCCTGCATCTATTGTATTGTCTCGAATTTTCTCTATGCCTATTGCGTATCAAAAACAAAAGGGAGAACATTCGGAAAACAAAAACGGAAAAAGAGACGATGGATAGGACCAAGGATAGGACGGATGTTTACTTGTTTACAAAAAACGCGCTCATGGCATATCACACTATTCTAATGCCATTTAAAGTATTCTTCTGGTGTCGTGCTCTAAAAGATTCATAGCAAAAAAATTTACCCTTATTCGAAAAACAACACAATCAGCGATGTTTTATATGGCAAATACCTACTAAAATTCCGATAAAATCGCATATAAAATCACATAGGCAATGCACTGAAAGAGAAAAACGTGATGCTGCCGTACATTGCGCACAAAATACATTTGATTATGTTTATTTTTTAAGAAAGTCATTTCCTTGACGCTGATTGTGCTAAATGATTGGAGGCAAGAGACAAAACGTTTTGTCGACGCACAAGAGCAGAGGCAAGAGAACATACTACCATTGCCATTGCTTTTTCTTTCACTCCTCATCCTGTGATTTTGGCATTATTTTAGCATTTATTTTTGGCCGTGGTTCGTGACCCGTGACATCTTCTCGTGCAAGGTGCAAGGTTCGTGGCTCGTGGCTCGTGAGGTGATCTCGTGAAGCAGGCGTGGCAAAGCGGGCGTGGCTAGCGTGTGTGTAGTTGCAGAGTGGGTGCTGAACTGCTGAGTTATATTATTGTTAAAGATATAGATATTGTTAAAGCCTTGTTACACTCAGCAAATATTGATATTGATATAGGGTTGATTTTTCGATCTTAATTTACAATCAGTTTAACCGCTGAGTGTTTTTCATCCTTGTAATAACTTTTCACATGTTTCATGATGCTCATTGAAATGGTTATTTGTCTGAATCCCCAGAGGACAGAATCACCATGGGCTACGAATGGCTGCTGGCCACTGGGCTGCCTCATATAGGAGGAATCGCTGGGGCGTTGATAACGTCCAAAAATGTTCCCACCTGGTACAAGGTGAGATTGACGTGCATGAAGTGGTTGTTGTCTGAACTCTGAAGGGAGCACGGCAGATTTACTTGTGGTAGTCCGATATTTTCTTTTTGTAATTGTTACTTATTAGCTACGCTGAAGTGCTTAGTGGGGAGTTTTTACATGTGTTGTAACAGTTTTGGTGCTTGTTTATTTCAGGGTCTAAAGAAGCCCTCCTTCAATCCGCCCAACTGGGTGTTTGGTCCGACCTGGACTGCCCTGTACACTGGCATGGGATATGCATCCTACCTGGTGTGGAAGGACGGAGGTGGCTTTGAGGGTGAGTTTGGCTATGGCCTATCGGCTTATGTGTGCAAGCTCATGAAAAATAGTTTTTTAATGTTTTAACACTCAACCACAAATGCTTACTTTTTTCCCTCCAGCCTTCCCTCCTCCTTATTGCCCACCCCAGCTAGGTCTGCCAGTGCCTGTCAGTGATTGAGTTTGTTTTCCAGGAGATGCCAAGCTGCCGCTGACCCTTTACGCAACACAGCTAGCTCTCAACTGGGCATGGACTCCGATATTCTTTGGGGCTCATCGACCCGGGCTGGTAAGCCATGTGGGTTGTTAAGCCGTGTATTTTTATTTCGCTGCGTTCCGAGTGTTCGTAGTCTTAGTTTTGCGCCAAGTCCGCGTGTTGAACGCGATTTTATCGTTGTCGTCCTCTGGTTTGTGGGTATCGTAAGTCTGTGAATGACTTCACCGTTTTCTCTGTACCATAAGGTACTGAGGGCATCCATTCTATTCTCCATGTTTGAATATGTGGCTGTTTCTGTCCATTTCACTTTGTCGCCGTTTCTGTCCGCAGGCGTTCCTGGAGATCATGGCCATGCTACCGTGTGTGGGCGCGTGCGTGGTCACCTTCAAGCCCATCAACTCGACGGCCTCCTACCTGATGATGCCCTACCTGTGCTGGACCGGGTTCGCCGCCGTCCTCAACTACTTCATCTGGAAGCTGAACAAGGACAAGAAGGCTGAGTAGACGTGCACGCCGCACAGAGTGCGGGCGCTTCCACCAAGTGGTTCGTAAAATAAGAAGCTATTTTTTTTTATCAAGAAGTCGTAATAGAGTGCCTCAAATAATTAAATCCGACTACACCTATACGGTAACGGTACATTATAGCAGCTGGTACTACTAGTACAGAAAAATGTGTCAAATTAATTAGCAGGTGATACCCATGCGTTTGCTTCGTAAGTTGCTTTTGAGTTCTAATCCCGCAGAGGATTTTAAACATCGTCTTGTGCATATAAACATGATGCTGCCCTGCATGCCCATCATATTGTTCGTATAATTTGTACAAAGCTGTTGGGTGTTCCATGGTGATTTTATTATAAGGTTGTGGAATCTTGGATGCTAACCTTCAAGCTATAGATTTGCTGACGCTGTGACCGTCTTCGCCGAAGGAGTGCTGCAAAAAATGGCACCGCTGATTGACGCTTTTAGTTTTGAGAGCGCTGTAGCTGTCTCTATGGTCAGTAACTTTGAATATGGGCAAGGGTACTTTTCTGCCAGTTATCTAGCGCTTCTCGTTTTTTTTTTTGTTTTTTTTTTGTCTAGAATAGCGCTATCTTCCAACGATATATGTTATCCAAACTTGCCCGTAATTCACTGGGGTTTTGGAAAACCAGGAGAAATGCGGCACTGTTGGGTTCAACGTAAGATGTTGCATGATGTCATTGTGATCTAACCGATTCTGACATTTGCAAGTCATATGGTACAATGCATCTACTGTGATTGCCTGCTTTATTAGCATTGAAATATAATTGCGCTTTGTGCTAATGACTATCAGTTTGCGTGCATATCGAATAATCACTCATCACCAGCTGTATTACAGCTCCCTAAATCTCAGCGAAGGTTACATAATGCATTAACGACGCGCTTTTATCCTGATACTTCGGTCTCGCTCCACTCTGGCATTTCACTGGTCCCGGTCACTATCAGGACATTTCGGATCTCGGTCATCGGTGGTTATACAATCGTAAGTGGCTCTTGAGATAATTACAACTACAGTCGCAGATAAGGCAATTGCTGGGGAAACAGTTTTTGGCCGCCAGCTAAAGCGAGCGAACTATATAAACGATTTTATACAAGTTCCCTTTTTTTGTGGCAGCATACAAGGTGCTTGCGGCAGGAGTTGTAATTCGCATCATCTCAGGTAAAACGCAGAATGATATGTTTTGGGCTATATTATTGTTGGAAGGTCACGGAATGAACACGTGATCCCTGGACCCTGAATGCACCGCGCATTACGCAACGCCCACGTGTATTGCACCACCTATCTGGCCATGCTACTCACAGTCGCCACCATGGGGGCTATCAGTAAACAGTGAGTGAATCCTCGAACATCTTGGCCAGGTCGTCCTCGGACTGGGGCCTGGGCGCCAGTTTGGTGACCCTGTGCTGCGGCACGGTGCCGCGCACTAACGCCGGGATGTCCTCCGACTTATAGCCCAGAGCCGACAGGCCGTTCTCCACCTTCATGAACTGCATGAAGTCGAGCAGCACCTCGGCCAGGACCTCGCCGGCCTGGGCGGCGCTCTTGCCGGTGACGTCGGCTCCGAGCAGCTCGGCGGCGCGCAGGTGTCGCTCCGGACACAGGGGCGCGGTGAACCGGAACACGGCGGGAGACGTCATCACCACGGACAGGCCGTGCGGGATGATGGCGTGCTGCGCCGAGTAGTCGGCCGGCTGGTGGCTCCGTACCATGCCCGCGATCGGGTAGCTCATGCCGTGGCACAGGTGCACGCCCGCGTTGCCGAAGCCGATGCCGGCGAACGCGCTGGCCATGTGGATCTGGCTGCGCGCCTCGACGTCGCCGGCGTCGTACACGGAGCGGCGGAAGTACTTGGCCATGATGCGCAGCGTAGCCTCGGCCCACACGTCCGAGATGGGGTTACTGCCCTGGTAGGCGGGCCGGTGGATCGGGTTGTCCGGCCGCGGCGAGCGCTGGTTGTACGGGATGGCAGTGTACGACTCCAGCGCGTGGCAGAGCACGTCGAAGCCGCTGTAGCAGGCTACCCGTTCGGGCATGGCCAGCGCGTGCAGCGGGTCGACGAGCCCGAGCGTGGGGCGCAGCTCGCGGTTGGCGATGCCCGTCTTGGCGTGCAGCGGCAGGTAGTCGAAGATGGCCACCCCTGTGGTCTCGGATCCAGTTCCGGAGGTGGTCGGAACGGCGATCAGCGGCTTCACCTTCCCCAGGATCGGCTTGCCCTTTCCGATCGGCGGGTTCACGTAGTCGAGGAACTCCGCCTCGGGGTTGCAGAGGTACAGGTTCGCCGCCTTGGCCGTGTCCATGACACTGCCTCCTCCGACCGCCAGGAAAGCATCAAACGGCTGACTCCGGGCGAACCGGATGGCGTCCTCGAAACTCTCATTGGTCGGTTCGACCCGCACCCCATCATACAGCTCGAAGTTAACCCCGTGCTTATGCAGCGACTCGAGGGTCGCCTTCACAGGCGAGAGTTTCACCAGGTTGGAGTCGGTCATGACACACACCTTCTTGGCGCCCATGTTGTTGAAGTCCATGCCGACCTCCTGAGTGACGCCCGGCCCGTAGCGGATGTTGGAGCACGCCATCTCGAATGCGTAGTCGGTGGAGGGCGGCGTGGCGGTCGTGTGCCGCACCGCCCCTCCGGAGCCGTGCGCCGGACAGCGGCACGACACGCGCTCCATAGCCTGCAGCATCGATAGCACGCGGCCGCGGCCCGACGCCATTGCTGCAGAGGTGCGAACTCACAGCGCTGTGCAGTCACGTACCAAACCGGTCCCCACACAACTCACAAAGGTGTTTGCAGGCGTTTGCTCGTTTCCTGCGAGGGCTTATGTCAACTCTGGTCGGTCGTTGTCGGCAATCACTCTCCAAACAACTCTCCTGGCGCCGGACAGGGAGCGACTGGGCCGCGGTCCGGCCCGATCCGGTCCTGCCCGGCTGAACACACATGTCTCGGCGGCCCGACGTTCAAGGTTACCCGGCGCCCACGGCCCGCCCCTCTCGCGACCTTGGCGGTGACAGGCGCCGATACCGCATTGGTAGTCGCGAGGCCGGTGAACCGTCGGGGCAGGGGGCTCGGCTGCCGGGCGGGGAAATGTAAACAAATCCGCGTGACCGCGACATGCGGTCGTGGCTTATACAGATATAGCTAGACTACCATTACGCCTGGACTTTTTATCCGTTCGTTGATTATTCTTGCCGTGTCAAGACCTTCGATTGAACGTTCCTCAGATATTGCGAATAGTATGTGCGGCGAGATGAGGTAATGTGAATATAAAAACTTTCAATCCCTAAAAAAACTGTAATGAGACGGATCTACTTTGGGATCTACAGTGTAGGTCACAGCGGGCCTTGAAGAAATAACAGCCTTCCCGCTAGGTAGTACCTAGGTGTGTGGGCTGAACTGTGGGCTGAACCTCTAGGATATTATTCCAAGCAAAGACTTTCGATATCTGAACACTTAACGGCACATTATGTATATTAAATGTATCACAGACAATGTCGCTCGCACGGCACGGCCTTTGTTCCAACTTCCAGCAACGCTTCCTATTCAGAGTCGAAACTGAAAAACGCTTCTACATATACGTCGACCATTCGCCTCTTTGAGATCGAGCCTTGAAGAAGATGCCAGTCCCCTCGAACGGGAAGGATATTTGCACTGCTGCAGTGAGAGCTGAGTGCCTTTACGACGGACACTTGTGATTGGTAACAGAGTTCAGTTCAATGACAAACTCTTGATAACGATGAGACGTCCTTTTTCGAGTTCAACTCAATAAAGGTAAACAACCATCCACTGAACCACTAATGGCCTTGAATAACGTTGCGTTGCTCTCATACTTCGTTGTCACTTGTCGCGTACTTAACCATACACATTTGACATTACACATAGTAGCCGTTGGAACGAATAAACAGCATTACCACCATTATGCAAGTCATTCGTGATACACCGCTCCGTTGAAGACACCGCACGATACAATGCACAATTCAAAAAGCGCACCACTTCTCTCGCACGAAAAGCATGTTCACTGGTCATCTTACAAAGTGGAAGTTCAATTATTTATGATAGCGCCGGCCGTTAGGGAGCGCCGATATGACTTGGTCGTCGGGTGAGACGGGGTGTTGCCCAATATTGGCATGCGTTCACTGATACCCGTTCGAAGGTTGGCACTACTGATGTCTGTTTCACAGTTGTCCAGAAATGCAGTGCCGAGTCTCAGTTGTAATGACTTGCTTCGACTAGTCGAATTAGCTCTTGTATGTTGGCGTTCCTGAGATTCCTGTCGAAAGAGGCTATTTCCACTTGTCTATTTGTGGGGTAAGCCCAAACCCTGAAAATGAAAGAACTTGTGTTAAATTCATTTGACTTGTACCTTCGCTTTGGTATTGGTCTTTTCTAAGTGTGTTCAGCTATGCACTTTTTACGTAATTGTTAGGCATTGCTTTTATTTTTGTGAACATAGACCCCTACCCACAAGAGTAATGGTGCTAATGCATCGCAATGACACCCTGATTTATCCATCGGACCGTTTACATTCAAAGTAGGTAGCTTCATAGTACACAATATCCAGCTGAACTGACCCTCAGCTGCCGGCGGCGCGGCCGCTCGGGGTAGCGCCGGCGCCACCGTGGCACGGCAGCGCCTCCTGGGCGTCCGCCGTCCGCCGCTGCTCCCGCACGATCCGCAGGTGTCTCTGAATGTACTCCTCGTGGGGCGCTAAGTGAACCGCTCGCAGCAGACACTGCTCGGCCCTGGCCAGCTCCGCTCGCTCCACGTACACCACACACAGGTTATGCAGACCCTGTACGTGGTCAGGGTCCAGACGCAGAATGTGCTCGTAACACTGCCGAGAAAGGGAACGGGAGTGGTTAGGGCGCTGAATCGCTTGTGATTGTGGTAATGACGGATTTAGGCTGGATCTGGAATCTATGAAGACAGAGAAAGCTAAGGCTTGACAAGTGATAAAGTACCTATGGCGAGTGTGATACGATCGTAAAGCGAATTTATAAACGTAAAGAAAATGTACAATGATTCTAGTTCAGTAAAGCTGCGTGATTCGAAGTGTTCTTGGTGCAGGGTGCATCGTTTAGCAGCATAGCAGCATTTCGTTTCGAGAAGAAATCGTCACCACTCACCCGTTCTGCGGCGTCCAGGTCCTTCGTTCCGCTGACGTAGATGTCTCCGAGCAGGATGAGGCCCTTGATGTGATCGGGCTGGTACTGTATCAGCTGATGGAGGAACGGAGCTGCCTCCAGAGGCCGGCCCGAGTCGCTCAGCAGCAGGGCCAGGTTGAACAGGGCGCTGTCAAAGTCCGGCCTGAGCTCCACAGCCTGTGAGCGAAGACGCCGTGATTGGATGCGATGAGAACAGACCATACGTTGTGTATCTGTTTTGCTACATCGTAACACTGATTGCCGTTCGACGTTCTAAGGCTTCAACTTTGAAGTATAGCCCAGTGCTTGTACGCAGCTAAATTTGCCGTTATCAAGCGTCAAGATAACTGGCGGCTCAAGAGCGTGTTATTACGCGCACGAGCTCAATTCCTCTGCAGCTCGCCTATCTATGGCCCCAGCAGACCTTCTACCTCCCCTCTCTTCCCGTCCCGTCCGTACCTTCCTGAAGTGGGTCTCGGCGGCGGGCAGGTCGCGCTCGTCCATGGCTAGCATGCCCAGGTTGAAGTGGACCCTCTCGGCTCCCACCACGGCCGGCGAGAGCTGCAGCAGCCGCCGGAGCCGCAGCCGTGCCGTCGGCCGTAGTCGCGCCGCGCCAGACTCCTGGATTATGGTGGCCGAGTTGAGCAGCGCCTGCTGGTGGTCGGGGGCCAACTCCAGCGCCCGGTCCAGGTGGGCCAGCGCCTGCGCCAGGCGGCCCTGCTCCAGGTACACGATACCCAGCTGGGGGAGGGAGGTCAGGTCAGGTCAGGGGCGCAAATCATTCAGCTTAGGGAGAGTTCGGGTCAAACGCACGGTACTGAACTGTTGGGACATACGAATGGTTAAATTATTCCATTACAAATACGTTCCGAGGAACGTATTTGTATTCCGGCGCTCATGTTGCAGTTGATTCACGAGCCAGTTTGCACCCTGATACCAAACTTGCATTTCCTGCTCGACTTATCCCTTACTCGTTTGCTCACGGCGAGGTAAATGCACGGTTATTCCGCATCCTGCTACTCGCGTTTTAATGAGTGTGCAGATTGTCCTTTTGCCATCCGTTGCTAACCACTCGTATCCATCTACTCACGTTATAGTAGATGTCTCGTTTGTGATACGCTAGGTGTTGCGTTACTCACGTTATAGTAGATGTCCGGGCTGTGTTACACTGAGTGTTACGATACTCACGTTATAGTAGATGTCCGGGTTGTCGCTGTCGTAGAAGAGCGCCGTCTCGTAGGTGCGCTGCGCCTCTCGGGTCCGGTTCAGACGCACCAGCACGTCACCACGGTTTATGTACAGTGGATCTAGTAAGGATCTCCAGACGTAACTAGATGGCGTTGAGCCTTAGTCGAGTCCATGTAACATTCAAGGAGAGGCCACTACCGAGCTGGGCCCGATGGGGAGGTGGGCGGGGGGGGGGGGAGGGGGCGAGGTCACGGTGCGGGTGACCTGTCAAACAGCCCCGGCGCGGTGGGGCACTGCCGCAGGCAAATGACGCACTCCAGCGTTGTTCCATATCGCGGTGGTGGGCCGGGCGGCCGGTTAGCTTGGCTGCTTGGAAGGAAAGGATAATAATTGAGGCATAGGTTTGCTGTGACCGGCACATCTGTCAACTATGATGCACCCAAAGTAATGCAAATGTGGTGTTGGTAATGCAGCTGGCAATGGAATGCCAGCGAATGCTCCGAGCGCCCGGTAGCTATAAGGATTAATATTATTTATGTCTCCTGAAATTTTCATTAAATATAATTCAAGCACTAGAAAGATTGTATCGTTCGACAGTTTTTTTTTTTTGACCGGCTGGCGTTTCTTGCGTAGAGCGCCCTTGGGCAAATAATTATCACGCAGGTGATTTTTTTTTTTGCTGGTAAGACAAAAAGGGCAAATCAAGTCGCTAATAGAAGATGAGGAAAAGTGGACGAATGTCACATTTTTGTGCATGAAGTTTCGAGTTTAAAAAAGCCAAAAGTTATACGTGTAAGCTAAAAAAAAAACAATAAGATCATTTAATAAAAATATTCGACCCGAAATTAGCTTCTGTTTTGTCTGACACTGATTGCGTGTAAGACCCTGGTCCAACCTGGTTCAACCCGGCCCAACCTGGTTCGGCACCCCATTTTTTAATATAAATTTGGCCCGAACCTTTTGAATGGAAGGAATCACAAGGACAGAGTCCCCGCTAAGCTGAGCTTGCTGCATTGACCCTGCATTGCATTGCATTGCATTGCATTGACCCCTCCGATCAAGCAATTCCTGGTCTATGACAGAATTTAGAGTCCAAATTTTAACGTGTGCACATAACCGCTCACGGCCGGTCCCCTCACTGACTTTGCCTGGCAGCGGCCTGCCACCAACCACAACCATACCATATCAGGAGGCTCAAAAACGTCAAGCGCACGTCACGTCTCGAACCCGGACTTTCCAAACCGGGACGTGCGATCTCACCACACGGAATCCAACGCTCTACCGACTGAGCTACCGGGACAGACGATTGACTCCGGATTTCGCCTCGTGGCATTGACAGACGTCAGACACTTCAGCCGAACTTTAACCGAAACACTGAGCAAGCTGCGAAGGGCGACAGGTGCTCGTAGCGTCGAGGTTGGGTGACCTGTGAGCTGAACGCGATGTCGCGAGTTCGAGCCCCACTCCCGGGTCTGGTTTTATCTAGGCACGAAGTAAATCCTTTCCTTCTACTGTAACACAGACAAGCACAATGACAGTCCCCAACATCCTCCCAGTCCCAATAAAGTCAAAATTTTCGCTTATTAATGTAACCGGTTGTTTTTCAATAGAAAAACACAATTCTAACGAATACTGTTATCTAATTCAAACAACCTGCGGTTAAGCTAAGTTTCATTTTTTTAAGAAAATATTTTTTTGGTAATTTTTCTGAAGCCATTTCAACTTTTTTTCTATTTTGATTCTTTTTGAACCGATAAAGCCCACCAAAACTGAACGTGCCAAATGAAAAAAATATCCAACTCAAATGACAGTTTAGAAAAGTGCCTAAGATATCATGCAACTATCGACCGAATAGTTGCAAGCTATAGGATACGTCCTAGATTTCAATTATCATTGTTCCACATTTTGGCTGGAACTGACGCTGCCTCTCGCTTGCCCGTTTGTTTGAGATAATGATTCCCTTTAGTCGCATTCTTCCTGGTTTCACATGAACAGGATACCACCATACCGGAGTGAACGCACCCGCAACCATCATCCCCTCCCCTCAGCCTCGGCGCAGTGGCGGGCGGCCCTGGGCGGCCCACTCCCGGCGCTACGCACGCCCCAGGCGTCGCGATACCGCGTCACTCCCCTCCCCCTCCTTCCCCCACAATGACCGGTGACCCCACTCCCCTCGGGATTTGGACTCGCCCTACCCCGACCGTAGCGCCACGTGGTGGCTCTGGAGATCTTAAATAGACCCACTGTACGCCTGTGTGTAGTCGGCTCGCATGCTGATGGCCTGACGGTAGAAGGCGTCGGCCTCCTCCAGTCGCGCCGGGTCGCGGGACACCAGGTTGGCCAGGCTGAACAGTACGGTCAGGTGGTGGGGCGGCACCCTCGACTGGTGCGCCCCCGCTCCGGGCCGGCGCCGCGGCAGCAGGGACCGCGCCTGTGGAGGGACAGGGTGTGCGGTGTTAGAGCGAGAGCACAGTAACCTCAGGCGGTGGCATCTGGTACTTCCCAACATACCAGTGAAGTTTGTCCTCTCATCTGAGACTATCTTGGCCGAATCAAGCCCTTTTAACAGTTGATCCCATTCCTCCGGTTTGTCAACGTGGACCGTGATTGACTGGACATCAATCCGGAGTGGGCTGCTGCGGCGGCAGGGATCGGCTGGGCCGTCTCTAACTTGTACCGCGCTCCTGACGGCACGTGCCGGCGCTGTCTGAGTGATGACCTCTGCGTCGGACCGGCTGTGATTAATGGCCCGTGTACCCACCGCGCGGCTCCGGAGAGGCGGGGGAGCTCTGTTTGACGGCTGGGGGAGCAACTGGTTCGTTTCAGCGCGCATATTGCAACAGGTGTCGGATAATGAGAGTTCCGGGTGATAACATTTCCTCCCATTTCGCAACGCTACCGCCAGAAAGGTACACAACCGGGACATGCAATACATTCCTAGCTTGATGTTCAAAACTTGGCTTCAAAGAAAAGCAATATAACTACTTAATTGCATTCAGTCCTTGCGGAATGTTCAGATTCTACTGTCTAAAGTTCACGCATTCTGTAAAGTCCCGTGTCCGCCTAACTCTGGCTGAGACACCGTCTCGCCATTCGCATTTCTGCTCTGTTAAATGCATGAGTTGAGACTGCAGGGGCGGCAATGTCTGAACACAAAGCACGTCTGTTTAGTAGTCGGCCCACACGCTAACCGGTGACAGAATTCACCAGTTCGCGCGGGCTGCTCAATTGAAAATCAGTTCGGCTCGCTCGGGCAGGCCAAGCGGCGCTGCTGTCAATCTGCTGCCCAAAACACCGTGAGCGATTCGCGGTACCGAGTTACTGGTTCAGAAAATAGCTCCTCAAAGTTAAAAGTTGCCGCTATGAGTGATACGTTCTGGGAAACGCTCAGCCAAGACGATGGCGTTCTCAAAAGCACAAATCTATGGCTACAAGTAGTCGATGCCTTTAGCACATTTCGCCTGATTTGAACAAACACTAGCTATGCCCCATGCCGTACTTGAATTCCCGACAAAAATCCATCAAATGTAATGTCTATACTCTATTCCTTGTATTAGTATTTATGTGCAACTTAGGGAAAGCATCAAATGCACTCCAAGCCGGAAAGACCTGTCGTGAGCTATTACATATGCCTACACCTTATACCATTACTTACTTGCATCTAAATAATGAAGCCGGAGCCAACTTCCCCACAAATCACGTATGCATGTCTCCTACAGCAAATGTTACGAATTTCACAATCCACCCAGGCCCACAATGAGTTCTTACGTTGAGGTAAGCATGTTCAGCTTCCGGGTACATCTTGAGGCTGTTGAACGCTCTCCCGATGTTGATGTGTGCTCCTATGTCATCCGGTTGTACCCTGCAAACAAATAGTGTCAGTCACACGGTCGAGAGTCGCACCGACCTCCATTTACATCGTTATCAGTTACTTTTCGTTTAAAATTTTTAAATTTTAAATTTAAATTAAAAATTATTATTATTATAAAATTATTATTATTATATATTAAAAAATTAAATTAAAAATTAAAATTTTAAATTTTAATTTTTAAATTTTTAAATTTTTAAAAATTCGTTAAAAAGTTTGCCGGTCCCGTAGCTCAGTTGGTTAGAGCGTTGGACTCCGCGTGGTGAGAGCACGCGTTCCCGGTTATAACAGTCCGGGTTCGAAGCGCTCGCGCTCGACATTTATGGGCCTCCTGACAGGTATGGTTGCGGTTGGTGGCAGGCCGTAGCCAGGCGAAGTCAGCGAGGGGACCGGCCGTGCGTGGCTTTGTGCGCACGTTAAACTTTGGACTCTAAATTCTGCCATAGAATCGGAATTGCGCGATCGGAGGGTAGAGGGCAGGGTCATCGCAACAAGCTTCGCTTAGCGGTGGCTCTGTCCTTGTGAATCCTTCCCATCAAAAGGTTCGGACAAAATTAAAAAAAAAATGGGCACTGCATTGCTTCTATCGTCACAACTCACAATGTTCATTTATTTCAGATAGTGACTTTTTGGTCCGGTTGTCTGTGTTATGGACAGTAAATGCTTTCGTCGCATGCTCGGTGAAAAATACTTGTAGCTACATTAGGCATCTCTTTTATCACAAGTTATAATGATGGCTCTAAAGTGTTAGACATTTCTTCGTATGCTCGGACAATTTATTACAACTTAAAATGTTGATTTGTTTTGATGTTCTTACTATTTAGATTAGTTTACGTGTTTCAAAGCTTCTGTGAGTTGGTAAATAGTCAGTGACATCCTGAGAGAATCTAGGCAGAGTTGCTTGACACATCAAAGCATCATGATTGAAATAACTAATATAAACTTCGGCTTTCACGCCATGAGAGGCTCGGCAACACTATAAGCTTTGACCCGGAGGCCGGAAACTCGACGGACATTACTAAGAAATGAGCAAATGCACTAGAAGCTTCCAAAGTGTTGTGAAGCTGTTCACCCAGCGGAAGGCATTTTGAGAAACAACACTGCGAAATAACAGCCCTTTGAATTTTAATGTAGACAGTTGGTAGTTTGTACTTTGCAGTTTGCATGTAAGAGCTAATGCTGCATTCAATTTCCCTTTTAACTGTTTGTTTGAAAGAACAAGGAAATTACCAATTTTATCATGCCTCATTTTGATTGAAAAACAATGCAGATTAAAAATTACTATTCGATGGTTAAACTCCTTAGCCACCTTGATCCTTTATATTGCTACACCGCTTTCAGATACATATGTCCCTTTCATGGATATCATTCCGCTCCTCGAAACAAAACGCACAATTTGTGTTCCCTCGGCGCCGGTGTTATCAGCTCCTCTCGTATCGCTCACCTGGCTGCCTGCTGGAAGAACGCCAGCGCCTCCCGCAGCTGGGACCGGTTCTCGAGCACGTGGCCCACGTTGTTGTACAGCTTGGCGTTGTTCCTGTTGACGCGCAATCCGGCGGTGAAGAGGGAGAGCTCGTCCCGCCAGTCCTGGTTCCTCCGACACGTCTTGAGGCCGTGGCACACCAGCAGCAGACAGATACAGGCGCGGAGGAGGGTGGAATACCGTCTGTGGGGCGGGGCGAGTCAAAGGTTAATATTCAAGTCTCGAGAAACTTGGCAGAAAATGAAGTGTTCGGTACTGGATTTCCATCAGTTTAATTGGTGTTTCCAGTTATCATTTTACGTCTTCATTCTTCGGGTACATGTTTACTGACCTGTATCGAGTCATTTTGTGGAATCCGGCGGCCACGAGTAGGCAAAATCCCATGGAGGGTATGTAGAGCACCCGCTCGGCCACGACGAACCCCACCGGGAAGAACAGATTGGAGGCGGGCACGAACGGAATCACCAGCAGCGACAAGCCCTGAAACAGGATAGCGTGTTTTTACAAAGGAGCAGTGACATACCTAAAGTGAGCGTCTACAGACTGCGCAGCAATAACGCTTTCCAGCAATATAAATAAACCTTTTATGTATTCAAATCACTGTTTTTGTTGTAGCTTTTCCGTATATGTATTCGTATCAACCAACGCACCAATATTTTACTTACATTTATCCGTTCATTGACAATTGAGTCATCAAAATCACTGCCGATTAGAAGCAACATGCAATGCTTCATCAAGGAACACCACCAATTTACATCAGTTCTCCAATCAGAGGAGAAAATCGAGCATTTCTCGAACGGCTCGGTGATTTCACAGTCGCTCGGAGATCTCTGGCACCCTGGGGAGACTTCACATAGCCGTAATGCCGCCATCGACTGGCCAATAAACGACCAATTACAGTCACTGCAGGAGTTTATAGCTGGGAGTTGGGTGAGGCAGCACACAAGCAGACAGACAGACAGACAGACGGACGGACGGACGTACGGACGGACGGACGGACGAAGGGACGAAGGGACGACCATAGGCATAGACAGGCATACACGTACAGACAGACAGATGGAAGCAAGGACAGACGGGCGGGGGAAAGCTGACGGCAGATGGTTTCAAACTCTGCGGGTCGCGATTCAATGCATGCCATGATTCAGTCTCGTCGCTCGTCTCCTCAGTCTTGAAAATTCCGTTTCTTTTTCCGGGACTGATAAATACGGAAATCAAGTCTGAATTTCGATAAAAGCGTAGGTCATGCCTTCTTTTCGCTCAATTTTTCGCAAAACCCACCATTTTGCTGTCGAATTAAATATGACACATGTAGCATAGCAGCCAACAGGATCGGGTGGTCGGTTGATACCGTGGTGCCCTGGCGGCTGGCGGCCGTCAGAGCGCCTGAAAGGTAGGCTGTCCCGCAGCGCAGCATCCGAACGCCTGGAAGGTAGGCTGTGCCGCACGACACGCCACCGCTCGCCAGGCGGCGTCTCGTCTCTGCCGCTGTCCGGCGTAAGATCGCCGGAATTTCATAATTTTCGTGGATCTGCTGGAATGATCAGCCGCACAGGATTCACTACATGTCATTTTTTTCGGTTTATTAGTGAATAGAAAAACAAAAGATCCAGGCAAAAGTGACTCCAAGCTTGTCATCATCTTTCTCTGGAAGATATGGAATTGTGCACTGTTGGTTTTCGATCCTCTGAACCAAGTGAATGCGGATAGCTGGAAATGAGTATTGACTGGTGCCGTCTCTCGATCTCTGTGCCCCACCCATCCGGGTCCGCTCCATCAGTGACGAGGCGAGCGGCGGCTGCCGGACCTCCGATAACCACTATCCCGCCGCGCCGCGTGTGTTGTGGTCCGGAAAATAGACCCGTTCTGCGGCGGTATCCAGCGAGCAGGCAGATGGGCGACTGTATCCCACACTACGTGAAACGCCTGATAGGGTACTGGATGGGATCATGTAAGGAGCAGACTACTGTGGTATCAACATACCCGCAAAGAACAGGCTACCCAGTGCCAAGAGGCTTCTGAAAACGACACAAAAATACGAGATATTAGAGCATATGTGTAAATATAAATACAACTCATGCGGCCACAAATAACCACATAAACAAAGCGAACAGCAGTAAGATGAGCGTCATGTATGGTTTTATGAAAGGGGACTTTTTCCAAGAAATATTTTTTAGCAAAAAGGTACACACGTTACCCTTACAAGCTTTAAAGCTTTCCGATGAATTTCGTTAGGACTGGAATATTTCCACGTCAACACCATTAAAAACTGAGTGGCGACGGTCTGCAGCGGTGACAGTTTTCTGCGCTCAGTTTAAATGGGTGCTGCAGCTGCCTCCGGATCTCGAGTGAGATGGAACGGCAAACACCTTTAGATACGCAGGTGCACTGCTATCATCGCTTCATCTATGAAAGTAAGAGAAAAATAAAGCAAAAAGAAAAATTCAATCGACATTTGAACGTTTCAAAAGAATTTTTAGCAAGCTTGTGTGTTCGTAACTTAACCGCTCAGTTGTTAAAGCCGCAGTTTTCTTATTTAAACTTGAGTTATCCTTATTTAAATCACTTCAGTCTTCCATTCACGTAGAGTGAAGGTTAAAAAATGTAAGTGACCTTCCCCTAAATTTGCACAACAGCAAAAGGCAATATTTCATATACTTGGTATTCGTTTAGCTGCACATTTCATGTGCGCTGCAAAGGTCAAATTCGCGGAAGTGCACCGTGCTCGTCAGGCACTGGTACACACATTGCGCATCGGCGCACGATTGTCAACATAGCAGTCGTTTCCCGGGCGTAGGTAATGGTTCCTCACACTGACATAAATGATTGCGCCTATGTCGATTACAGGTAGGAACTGATGGATCACTTCCTCATAGAGGTAGTCGGATGTGATTATTAGCTGTCGTGATGTGTGACATGATTGCGATGTAGGAAAAGCTGAGTGGGGTAATGTTCCTCTGAAAGCATTATTGGTGAGTAAGCAAGGTAAGGCAAGAAAATTAACACGCTTATCATACACTGCATTACCGAAAAGCATTTTAGTATTAAAACAATCAGCATTTTAGTTAACAAGGCATGAAAGTCGGGCGCTACTACGGTTGCACTGTCGGTTAACGACCATCCGTACATAACATTACTAAATATATCAATACTGTATGGGGTAGCGGGCAACAGTAAAAAATATTGCCCGATATGACGGCACTGTAGCCCGAGGGTTAAGACACTTAAGACTGAAACATGTTTTATTGTCCGAGGCGTAGCCGAGGGAAATTTGAGATAAATTTGACGCACATATAACCACAGCCAGGCTCACATACGGACACGCTCGCTCCGCTCCACAGTGACTGGTGTCCGCCTCTGTCGAGTCATTGGGGAGGGAGGCAACTCTGAACCGCCCGCGCCCCTCGGATCCGCCGGAGCGGACACCAGCCGCTCTGGCAGTGGCGGGGAGGGGAGCGACCTCATCTGTCAGCCCGTTTATGGTTGTGTTGTTGACTCCCCATGTTTACAGCGCCCGAGATAAGACTTGACCACTGATATAAGCCCCGGCGTTAGGCTGTGAAAAACACCGTAATCTTTTACTGCGAGCACAGGGGGAGGCAACATATTGCCCATTCGGAGCGGCTATTGGGTTCGACAAACACCTACTGCGGGTCGTATTGGACGTGATATTGAGGCAAATACAAAATGTCCCGCACCACATAAACATGCCAGTCGGTTGATATTTCGCAGCGTGTCCCGGAGAAGTGCTTCTATCGATAATGTGTACACCAGTCACCAAGTAGTATGATTCACGACAGATGCACGGCATCAACCTCGTACACGACAAGCGTAGTGCCTTTTATGTTTACACTAGAAGCCACAAAGAAGCGGATCCGGTCGATAAAACTTGAGCGAGCAGAGTCGGAACATGCAAGCGAACACCTTGTTGGGCTTGATGGCGCCTGCCACACACCCTTGCAGAAAGTGGCATTCGTGCAAAGTGGCTTAGCGAGCTGATTAAAAATGCAGACGGTTGCTAGTTCAATATAGCAGCCCTGTTGGACGCAAATTCACGTCGCACCTTCTACTTGGACAAATATTGCATTAGGTAAGCGTGCTGAAGGTTGTCACGATGTTGTTTACTAGGAGCTTCCTTTGACGGATATTGAAGATTCTATATGTAGTTCAATTTGACTGCTTGCCTGCTCATCCGTTCTAGCACTGAGTTATTTATTCAGTTATCACTTCACTTCCTTTAGTGTCTATCTTGTGTGCTTGCCTCTTAGATTTCCTTTGTCACGTAAACTAACATTTACCATTCATTTAAGTTAATTTCCTGAAGTACACCGGTTGCACCTAGCCCCTGCAAAGCGGGCTGACGGCTCGTCGCCATTAGGTGCTCACTGCCGGTGCGCCGAGTGACACCCAATGAAAGGAGAACTCGCCGCGCCTGCCGCTATGCAAATGGGGCTGCATTTTTAACTGGGTAGCGTCACGGGGCCGACAGCAGGCGTCAGAGAGCTCGTCCAGCCATGAATAACGCAGTGGGCACCCCCAGCGGGCAGCGCTGCAAGCCTGACCCTTCCGGGACAGGTGGGAAAACGATTGGTCCCTCGTGGCCATGGATTGGTTCAAAGTTAGCAGGCCATGTATTGGGAAAGTCAAATTATTTTTAGGTATTTTTGGTACTCCCGTCCCACTCACCATGAGTATGACAGACGAGTGTCGATCGTAATCACCGACTGCTCGCCGCAGCAAGAGGCAGAGTGCTGCGGCCACCGCCAGCGGACTGAAGTTACGCCGGTCGCCGATAGATGTCACCAGCGGCACGGTGCCCATGGTCCAGTCGCAACAGAGCGGGTCCGGTGCCAACAGCAGGCCGCTGTTCACCGCTGTTAGGTAGCTGTGGGTCAGCTGGCGCGTCGGCCAGCCGGCAGCTGCTGCTGGGTTGTCGAACCTGACGGAGACAGCGAGTGTTAGATTTTAGTGAACATGGAAATAGCCATTCTCTTTCAATGTTACGCAAGTTGTGTGATGGGCTGGCGTGACGTCACAATAAGTTTTACATGTTGAACAATATCCCTGATTTTAAACAAAAGCGCGTGATTCTCGTGCTGAATCTGTGAAATTGAATCATAAGAAAGTCTACACGAGCAATGCGGTAACGTGCCGACTCACACACTTCAATTTTCAAACTTCTGCCAGCAGTTCGATGTTTCTGAGGACCTCCCACATACACCCAGCCGGCGCCTGACCCGAACACCGCTGCCAATCAGTGACCGGTTGATTACCCCTTGTCCAACACGGCCCTGGGGAGCCCTGGCCTCCGCTCCCGCGGGCACAGAGCAGCGACACGGCCCTCTCCCTCCCCCTCCCCGCCGCCGCCGTCACAATCCCGCTGCCACCACCGCCGCCGTCAATCGTTCGGCTTCTGTTTTTCGCGAGAGAGAACAGCCGTTCGAACGACGGACGAACAGCACTCTCGGGATACAGGGGAGGGGGTGCATTTTTTACCTTCGGCAATCAGAGACCTGCGTTCTCTGCTCCTCTCTCTCTCTCTCTCTCTCTCTCTCTCTCGCTTTCTCTCACCCTCTCACTCTCGCTCGTCTTTTATCACTCCTTCACTACATTGGTAAGCTAGTCTGTTTATCGGTCCGGCCAATCACATTTTGTTTCTCCCGTCGGTGTGTCGTTTCGATTCATCTGATGCATCAGACCGGCGTCCGATAACTTCCATTCGGAATTTACGTAAATCTACCAAGATTGTTTCCGTAATCCTGATGCGAGTCAGGTTATAGCCGATCGTCAATTCAATCCGAGGCATTTCGGTCATAGAGCGATATTTATCTTTGGCCTCGCATTCACATGCAAAGGCGCTGATGCTAATGCAAATAAAGTGCAATGTTTGACTCAGGCATTATTCATACCAAATATTTACTTTTATTATCAAAGAACATAAAGCAATATATAACAGCAAAAGAACAGCATCCAAAAACACATTTATACGCGTTGTGTGCGTTTCGCAACTCGTACCTGTTGAACACGGGCAGTCTGGCACCCATGACTCTGACTCTGGCCAGTAACAGACTGAGTCCGGTGACGGTCAGTGCGGTCAGCCGCGGTGCCGACTCCATCAGCCAGCCGGGAGGAGGGACCTTCCCACTGACCAGTGACCTGAGCAGGTACTGCAGCTCCGACCGCCGCAGCTGGCGGCAGGACGGGACGGCAGAGGGGGGCTGGTGTCAGTTCGAGATGCGGGTTCTGTAGTCAGGGGTGGGCTCGAGTGCATTTGGTACAGCCGACAACTTTACCGTGACTTTTCACATACCTACCATGAATGGCATATCCGGCACCTAGTCCTTGTAAACCTGGACACAGTAGGCCCAGGGCTCGCTTGAATTTACAACTGAATTTTGAATAGGTCCTAGCCAACGGGCATTGACACTCACCTTCTGCACAACAAACAGCTCATAGGTAACACAGACTCCCACGATGGTGATGCCCTGCTCCTTGCTGAGAAGAGACGCAGTGACGCACACCATGGTGACAAACATCCACCGCCAGTCTGTGAACGAGCAGAATGTGACAGTCACCAAATATACGCCAACAAAGTGAATGTAGACTTTCTGATTTAAGCAAAATAGTTGGACAAAATAGATCACATTTGGCTCATCGAGGCTAAGTCAAAAGCGTGATAATTACGGGATTATGAACAGTAGTGTTATGATTTTATTTAACCGGCATCGGTTTGAAAGTTTTCCTCTTATATTTGTGCTGCTAGAATGTGTACATATAACCATATAATATAAGGGCACTTGCAATGTGATTTTGTATATTATGTACTCAACTAAGTTGTATCATGTGCAACGAGCACATAAAAGCAAAGTTGGGGCAACAATCAACAAGAGGCAGCAGGAAAAACATGACGCGAAAATCAGAGAGTGAATATGGCCTCACGTCGTGAGATTGGATCTCACGAGCCACTAACGCGCTAAAGGGCTAAACCTGCGGAAATAGTGTCATCTCAGCCTGACGGCCTATGAAGGAGTGGCGACCCTGCAGCGCTGCGGATGACAATATCCGGCTGCGCGGCTTCCAATGTCGTTTTTATGGGCTTGTTTGCTCAGACGGTGGTGTCGCAGTTCATAAGGGGAAGACTCCTGGATGTGGGGTCTGGCTGATAGCGCGATATCTTGGGAAAATGTGCAATAATGCGGTTACAAATGCTGTGATTAAAAATAAGCTTCATCTGAGGGAACGCTTCTGAGCGCTTAACTACTTACATGAAAGGAAAAGCACCAGATCCGTATACTATGGAGTACACAAGGTCAAATTCATGCAAGAAAGCGAAGTCATGAAATAGTGGGTGCTAAGAACAAACAACATCAATATTTAATATAAAATACCCTGTTTTTTTTTTACTAATATTCGTGCGATAAGCAATCATGACATTACACCATCGAGTCAAAATATGTCGGGATTCGAAACATATTTCTCTTCAATTTTCTCAAAAAGCCATTATTTCTCCCAGACACTTGCATGGAAATGGGAAGTGATAGGATTTGTTTAAATCTTATATAAGCTCGAGAGCAAACAATTACTGAGCGAGTGCTTTTCTTCAAACTGAATGAGCTCACCATTGTTGTCGGCCAAATCCATCACTTTGTTTGCTACCGGCCTTCTTTGGGGAGCGAAAAATATGAGCTGGTTTCCGCTGCTCTCTTAACAATAACAAACTTAATTAAGTAAGCATCTTAGCCCGTCCTCTCGTAGCCTCCAGGCTCCGCCAATCGAATTAGAAGGCCTAGTTTCGGTCGGCTGGTTCAAACGCATCAGGCTAAAAATGAGTCTGACGCATCTAATAAACAAAGACTTGTTTGAAGAAGTGAAGCGAGAAATTATACAAAAAAAATATGCAGTGGAAAGTCGCAAGGTGAAACGACATCTAAATACACAATATGACATAAGGTACATAGTTTGTACTATGTACGGTACATACATGATGTTTGTCGCTCAGTACATATGTGTCTTTAAACATACTCGACATATTTTGCGATCGAGGAAAAGTCTCAGGTGTCACCAGTTCACTATTCAAGTGCTCTAATAAGTCCAAGCAAAACACTACACAGAGCAAAAAAAAAAAAACTGAATGTTTCGGCCAAAGGACAATGAGAGCGAAAGCTTTGTAACGTCCTTGGGAATCTGAAGCTTTTTGGCGAACTTTTACTACAATACCGTAAGCACAATAGGTAATAAAATCGTAATTTATTTGGAAGACGCATCCCTAGTAAGTAGAAATCATTCCAGTAAATGACTGAATTCACCACCCGATGGGCCATCAGTCACGGCTCATTTCCTTCACATGCCAACTGCCCCCAGTCCGTTCATCAAACGTCGTCCTACACGTGCCTGTCATGCTGAACCCGTCGGCCGCTTACGTCTTGATTGGTCTCTACCTGTCTCAATTGGCGAACGTTAAAAGAGACTTATGACATCGTCAAAGCTCAAATTATCAATAAACGGAATAATGGTGACTTAACAGGAACTCATTAAGTCTCCGCAGGGTTTCGACGGCCGGTAATGCCACAGAGCAGTCGGTATTTTATGGCGGCGTTTCTAAATAACTAGCTCGGCACTGTGCCGAGCTTCAGAGCTCCTTGCACAACAGCCCCTGGCTCACTAACTAAAACAACGGGCATAGGTACGTGATGAAAACTGAGAGCTACAGCTCAGCGAATCAACCCTCCTTGAAATGGTAGCACAAAACGACCTCTTCTTGTAATTGGGTTAGTCTGTATGAGCCGTGTGTATGACATTGCATTTTACCTTTTTTCACTCCATTTGCTTTTCAGGGTCAATAGGCCTTGTTTACGATCCTGCCATGAAAAGAAGTATTTATGAGTATGGCTATTCCTCCTTTTATCATTCAATATTTGAATGCTAACGCCCGATGCTAGTTCACTTCAATTGTGAATTAAGGCGGCATTAACGACCGTTTGGAAGTCATCAAATAAATTAGAGCTGTTCGAGACAGTGTTTTCGTGAAGTGCGCTCACAAATCCATCACATAGTGGTGGCCCGTCGCCGAGTTACGAATTTTACCGTAATCTATCTGCCATAAATTTTACCAATTGGCATATCCTGTCACGCTGTGTGAGTTCGACACTGGAAAAGTGGATTCAACTGAGCCTCATCAGATTGAAAAACGTCGTTCTATCCAGGAAAGCATTTACGGTATTAACTCAAAAGAATGTAACTGTGCGTTAAGCCCCAAGGCCAAGAGATTGTATTCGGATATGATGGCATGCGATAAAGGAACCTGGAATGCAGTGTCGAATGGATTTCCTTGGTTTTTTAATTACTGATAACCATTTTTAAGTAATTTTGTAAGGTATCACGGTAATATTATTGGTTACAACCAAAAGTACTTTTCATGTGGTCGTTTTTTTAACGAAAAAGCATTTCAACACGTCTCGAGCAACGAATTATGTTCATATGAGCTTACAGAATGTATTAACCATTCTTCATGGGCAAATTATTTCTATAATTCCCTTGCCTTGCCACAAGACACGCTATGGCTTACCTGTCGTTGTTCTTGTTCGGACGGACCTTGTGTAGGCCAGGAATGCAGAGGTGAAGAAGAGCGCTGAGAGCAGCTCTGCTCGGCCCACCACTCCTGTCACCTGGGGAGTGACGATACGGGCTATAGCTGAAGCTGCATCATGTACCCAGCTCAGCGTCAGATTGGGTCTCCAAGCAGCTAACATTGCAATACATGTGCGCATGACAGCGACGGGTAAAATGACCGGCATCATTTAGTGAGGTGCATGCCAGGAGGGTTATTTATTTCACAGCATAACTCTCCCACGGCGCGGCGGGAAGCGTCAGTTACACGGCGCCAATCCTCTCCCCGTCCCCGTGCGCCGGCCAGCATTCATCCGTGTAACGGAAAGACAGCGGGGTGTCACGCCACATCCCTGGCCGTCCATCAGACACCGAGGGGCGCCCCAGTCCCCCGCCGCCCCAGCACCGCCCCTCACCGCCGCCCGACGGACATGTTATTCCAGTAAAAGCCACCGGTATAGATTACCATAAATGAAACAAGGTCCCATGTGGCGTATGATTTCATCGTTTTGACAACAGTGTTGGGGTGGGCTGACGGGGAGCCCCCATCGAGGGAAGGCCACCTGGGAGGTGTAGGTATTACACGGAAAATATTCATGTCATTTGGAAATGAAAAATAGTTGAACCAATTTCATATCTGGAATTCGTTCAACTATTCGTTTCGTTGTCATATATGACAACGAAACGAACAAAACCAGAACAATTAGGGACACGTTTTTCCGTAACAACAGCGGGGAAAGACATTATGCAAGCTGTAGAGTTCATTCATTACATAGACTTCAACCTATCACAACGGTTGATCGTGTACCTAGTTACATAGGTTCATACGAAATACAGTAGTTTTGTACTCATATTGAAATAAATATCAACAAATGGTAATTACTAGATGATTGTCAACGTGAAAACAACGATGACCGATTTCGTGATCAACATATTGCAAAATGGTACTTATTTTTATGCATCGATTTTTAGAAGCATATATACGCGACTTGTTACATGTATGTATGTACGAGTACATGTATAAGCAAGAAGCATTAAAACGGCTCCGTACGCTGGCACTTCACAACATTTTCAAGGACGGGTCGACATCGCTAGGCTTGGGACATAAAACTTGACATCCCCACTTATTGTATGTAGGTACTCAGCATTGCAACGCGTTGTAAGCCAACAAAACGTTGTCAAGCCCCACAGAAACTACGCCGCTGTTGAGAAAGTCAGCCCATTCACTGGCATCTGAAAGCTTAGCCATAGGGTCAACACTTCAGTAAATTGCCTACTTATATTCATTTATTCAAACTGATTAGCTTCCAGCATAATCTCTCTCGGAATAACTTTCAGCACGTGAACTATACTGGCATTAGCCAATAATGTGGGAAGGAGATTAAATGGCGGAAGTTATGGGTTTTAGAATGAGTCGGAGACCCGGCTCTCGTTCTTTCTTTAAACACTCAACCTGGAGTCTGAAATGCCTACATCCTGCTCTGAAAACTCATCGCGGCTTAGTCATGGACGAACCGTAGGTAGAATGCACTGCTACTGTCTTCCTTGAAGATGGATACCTAAACTCATTGAAAGTGGATAAACTCATACTATGTTTGATCCCAAATTTTCATTATCACACCATTGGCGCCTATATGCAGCTGTTATAAGTGCCCTGCTAACCTATTTTCGTCTTTATTCGGTCAGCAAAATCGAGCGAGGCGATACGTAACATGGCGCGCTATCAGTATACATACAGGGCTGTTTTTCACTGTGTACGGTACTGTAAAAGATTTAAAATCTTGTCGCCCTTGCCCCACATATAGGTGAAATTGTATGCTAAAACACACCCCAGCTATAGTTCCCACTTACCGCCTCAGTATGGACAGGATGGACAGCAAACATCATGGCAGCCAAAAAGCTGCACTTCTTCGATACGAACAGATTGCACAGCCTGTGACGAAAGAAATGAAAGCTGTTAGTTTCATATACAAAAGAGTATCATCATTGAAAATGTTAATTTATTACTGAGAATTAGCCAAAAGCGGTCGTCTAAAAATTTAAGTACCCGAAGAAACTGGCAAACATGAAATGGAAAATATTATTATGCACATCTAACAACTTAGCAAACGATCTCTCCCGTTCAATACCAAGGTTCATTGCATTCTACGTTATGTCTATAATAGTATTCGGTAAGCTCATTGAACTCGTTCAATGAGCTTACCGAACTCGGTAAGCTCGGCGCTCGTTTGCCAAAGTCAAACTGTGTGTAAACGGACCTGAAGTAGAGGAAGCATACGACACCATGAAGAATAACGTTGACGAGATGGTAGCCCATAGGGCTGAGCTGGTGGAAGAAGTAGTTCCAGCGAAAGGTGAGAACGCAGAGAGGCCGGTACGACTTGTGCGAATGATCCTGGAACAGAAATACGCCGGCTCATCAAATGCAAATCAAATGTGCACTGCCAATACTTTAGAAGGTGGCGACACATGAGGCAGGCTCACATCGGCGCATAGCTGCTGAGGAAATATTGTTTGTAAGTGAGTGTTATAGGCTTTTTTGGATTGAATGACTTTTAATTCGTCATAAAAATCGAAGTAGGGCATTTAATTACTGGTAACCATTTATCGCAGACGTGTGTAGTGAGACGTTGGGTAGGCATGTGGAGTGTGGTGTGAACCGCATGTTAGCCCACTACCGGGCCTCGCTGGCCCGCTCCGATTTGTGTCGTTGTGTACCCGGCTATGGTCGCTTACTTGTGGAGTTTTTAACTGCGATCAGAAGTGGGTCTTTGTTGCGTATCTTCAACAGGAACAATCTGTTCTGTCTTGGATTTTCATTGTCATGAAGCTTTTCCAATTGCGTGATATCAGCAATCAAGCTATAGCGCGTGTCGTTCCAAGTTGTCATTCATCATGTCCATTACACATACCATACTGCAGCAGGCAGTCATCATTGAAATTGAGCCCGTGTTCAGGCGTGCCAACCTCCCGTTTCGTTGTCAATAGTGGGCCACTCGACACGCTTGACCGTCACGTATTACATCCACTTACAACGATTGGTGCGTGAGCGACCGACCCGGCCTGGCCAACACCAACACTGGCAGTTGTCGACACCAAAGTAGACCAATGTCGCTGTCCAGTGCCAACTCTGACGCCGGCACAGACTGAGCAGCCAACACAGCTTAGCAATTCATCACCTGCCAATGCTGGCAGCAGCCGACACTTTCACTATAGTGCAGTCCACGCACCAACTGCTGTTGCTATGCCTTCACCATTTCACCGGTGTGGTCCAGTACATACCAACCTGAATGACAATCTGACCAGTGCTGTCTGACAGTTATCCCGGCTACCAGCAACTATGAGTCACTGGTCTGTCATAGTTTGACCTTTGGGCAATGACTGTCCCCTCTGCGACACGTCTAACCAGTGACCATGCAGTCAGTGGTCACGGGCCGCTGGTCTGTGATGGTCTGAGCAATGACTGACCGCCAACACTGCACGGATGATGCTATTTCTCCTTAAACAGTGACAGCGTCAAATGACCGTTTCATCGTCAGCGTAAGACGTGAGTACGGAAGGGTCTGCATTCAGCATTATCAACAGCGAACCGGCCATTGCCGGCTCTCTGCCGGAATCAGAACTGCCGCGAATTAATTATGCATCCACACCAGTCGTTGCCCGGTTTAAAACTAGTTTTTTACATTTATTGTAACTAGAAAGTTGAATTGCTTCGATTATTTGAAATAGGGATGGATATCCACCCAATACAACACCGTCAACACACACGTTGAATTTCTAGTAAAAGCTTTGGCCATATGGGTACCTAAACTAATAAGTAATAAAAACTGACGGTTTTATCCATTAACCCTCGCCCATGTAGGGGGGGGTTGGTGCAACCCCCCCCCCCCGAGGTTTTTCGGAAATAGTGCAAAAACGGCGGCGCGCAGCGCCGCCAAATTTTGGGTACCTTATGGGGCAAACCTTGCGCATCTTTTGATAAAAAAAAATTTGACCGGGTCATGTCAGGTCACGGAGTTATGACGTCACAAAGGGAACAGCCTCCGGCCGGATTTTCACAAACTGAGTGCCAACGCCCGAGGTTTCCTGCCGGTGGTACGGACATCGGTTGATGGATCGTGATGAAACTTCCCATGCATGTTAGGGCAAGTATTGGCTATCATATGGTATAAGAAACTTGACCGGGTCAGGTCAGGTCACGGAGCTATGACGTCACAAGAGGAACAGCGTCCGGTACTATTTTTGAAAAGCGCCCGAACCACTATTTTGCTAATTCTTGTCACCTCAATGGGAATATGCAGCAATATTAGCTTCTATAGGGAGCAAATGGACCTTCCAAATCCAAAAATACAATCAGATTTCAAAAATTTAAATTTTGATTTTTCGAATTTCTGCCGCCGACTGTGACCTTGCCGACTTCCGGCGCTCCCAACGCGCCGTTTTTAGAGCTAGGGAAACGAAATACATACCAAACGATAGAGAATTAATCAAGGAACACTATAGTGAAGGTTTCAAGTCGATATCTCCCACCGTTTTGCCGCAATCGCCGCGGAAAGTTGAAAAAGTCTATTTTTCCGAAAATTTGACCTTTGACCGGTCAAAAGTAGGTCAAATGTTGACCTAGGACCAAAAAATATACCACCAATCGCGAGATCTCGGCGAGAGCAATCCGTTGGTCTTTTCCGCTAAGCTCTACGACGCTCCGTTTTCAAACGCCAAGGGGGGGTCGCACCAACCCCCCCCCCCCCTGCATGGGCGAAGGTGGCAGATCGCCGTTTACGGGCGAGGGTTAAATAATACGCACACGCCTTGAGACAACCACTGGATGATTGCATGATTGTTGAATCCAATCACCTGATGCCTTTTGTTCGAAGTCACGAAACCCAGCTTAAATAATTCCATCGTCGTGTCCACAGTAACGAGTAAGGACCCTTCAATGATAGGTGTCCTATGTAATTTGTGACCGTTGTGAAAAAAAAAACCTGAGCGCCTTCACCTCAGTGCCTCGCCAGCACGTCTGGGGAAGGAGGGGGAGGAGTGGTGGCCGTATTGGCTGAATCGCGTTACCGTTGCCAGGGTGATGCACGATGATTGGTTCTCAGGAAAGTGCCGCCGTATTTACACCGTGAGAGGACCGAGCGCGACAGCCTGCCGTAACTCAAACTCGGAACGAATACGGCGAGAGAGACGGTCGCAGGAATGGCGCGGGTCAAAGTGTAACGTCGATGAATAGGGCTCGAGTTTGAAATATTCGAAAGTATGTGAGAAAATGGTTGCAGCATAGAAAGTGTTATCTCAAAATTTTATGTAGATAAAAAGATGGTCAGAAACACCGTGGCTATTTAGGACATATAACATGCTGTCAAATTAATAACTGCCCCATTTAACCCGCGCCCCACTGGGGTCTGCGTATAACACGCCCTACTGGGGGGGGGGGGGGGGGGGGCTATTCATAGCCCCCCTCCTAACTCCGAAACTACTGGGCCGATCGTCAAAATTCAAACGGCGTCTGATAGCCCCGGAAAAACTGTCGAGTGAAACCTAATTTCATTGACCTCGAGGTCACCGATGACGTCACAGGTCAGGTCAAAGTAAAAATTATTAGCATTTTGGCTTGTTCACGTTTTGGGCTCTGGCCGCCGGCTTACAAGTCAGATCAGGCTCATTTTTGGTTCACACACTCGTGAACAGATGCTTTAGATATCCTGAGGGTACCAAACTTGTACTTTGATTTTCAGGTCAAGGTCAGGTCATCACAGGTCACGAAAATATTATATCATGCGTCAGTCACGTGACACATGTTTTATGGTCCATTTAGGCCAAAGATTTCGAATTTGATGTCGTCTGTGTCATTCGAGGTCATTTTGAGTCGAATTTCGCTTAGGTCAGGTCACTTTCAGGTCAAAAAAGGTCAAATTTTGAAGTTATAATTTTTCAACAGAAAAGGTGTCTATTGGATGCAGTTTGAGCTCAGGAACACGATGGTGCTATTTATATTGACGTACGATGTCAAATACGTGCTGAAAAATAGATTTGAAAAATTAATAATTGTGAATTTTTTGCAATAATGCGTATAACTTGGCCATTTTTGAAGATATTTAGCCAAAACTTGCTAGAGTTAGTCATAATATAGCGTTCTATCACATATATTCCGGTTTTTTTTCGAAAAGTCAAAAACTTTTTGAAAAAAATGTAAAAATGTAAATTTTGAATTTTATTATATAAAATTTTCGAAATTTTCAAAATTTCGAAAATCTGAGATAGCAGTTTGATAGCGCAGTCTATTCTGAGTCCTCTCATGCAAGGAAATTGGATCGAGCTTAAAAACTGAGCCCTTGGGAGCGATTGCCGTGGTTCAATGTTTTGCGTCGAAATCGGCCGAACATGACGTCACTCTGACGTCATTTCCGGCCGACCTATGGTAGCTACGAGGTTCAAGTTTTGACACACGGTGTCAAATTGATGCAGCCGAAGGTACTGAAAGTTTGGCGTCGATACGTCAAGCGGTTTAGAAGTTATTGCAGAAAAACGGGAGGGGGCTATAAATAGCCCCCCCCCAGTGGGGCGCGGGTTTTAAGGGCCTATCTGTTATTAAGCCAAGACAATATCCTCTCATCACGGGTTGATGTCTTGTTCAAAGATTGTAGGAATTTCACACCTAATGTCGTGATTTACGAGCGTCATTTATCAGCAATGCACGGCACGAGCCGGCTGGTAGAGCGCAGTTGTGAGAAATTCCGGCACTCATTAAACTCGGATCAAATCCAGATGACGGCGGCTATTAGCGGGAGCGGAAAAGTTAAACTGTAATCGTCTCTGCAATGCTGCCAGCGTCCAGACGTGAGCATCACTGCAGCATGGTAAGAAAATCCTGATATGTTTTGGTCGTAGAAGTAAAATAAACTTCACCAAAAAACAGTTCAAAGCAGTTATCGTATTCCAGACCGGTTTCGGCACGTTACAGTACCACCATCAGTGGGCATGCATACATGTTACATTACGGTCTGAAATATGCTAACTGTAACTGCCTTGAGCTGTTTTTAGGTGAAGTTTTTTTTTTACTTCTACGACCAAAACATGAACGACTTTTCGACAATATAAAAAATCCTGATATATTAGCATCAGTTAAACAAGAAGTAAATGGCTGCCAATTTTAGGATGTTACGTTACAATAGTGGCATATAGGTATAAAATTGGATTCGTCAATTGGCTTTTTGCACATACCATTGCACATTGCACATTGGTATTTAGTTATCAGTTCATGTAGTTTGGTTAGGAATCTGATCTAGCATATGTGCTCGGTAATCAATGCGATTTCACCATATCAAGCGCAAAAGGAAACTTATCATAATCGCACCATAGGCATTGCTCCGTTGGTATACCTACTGCGTCACTCCTTTTTACGATGCGTGTCATACACAGGACGGCACCCCTTCCCTCTCCGCCCGGCAATCGTGCAGGTGGGCAGTGCCTGTCACAGGCCTGGTGCGCAGTTACCGCGCCCATTCATCGTCATTGGACACAGCCATTGTTCGTGTGGCGACAATGGCGACAATTGTGTGCCAGTGATTGGCCTACCTTTTCCATGGGTGTTCCCCAGAAGTCGTTGCTCAGCAGACTGGAGACGGGCGTGTCGGGACGCAGGTCGCGGTTGCCGTGAATCGCTCTGACGTCATCAAACACCAGGTCACAGTGCAGGGCGTTCTGGTAGCAGAGGGTCACAGCCAGCGCTAGCAGACAGGGGTACGACCAGCGCTGTAGCATCTGTGGAAGGAAAGGGGTAGCGTGAGATCGGAGTTAACCCTCGCCCGCACATGGGGGGTGCCACCCCCCCCCCCCCAGGTAGTCTTTCTGCTCTGCACTCGACATTTTTAGAGCTAAAAGGCTGATTTTTGGTATAGCTACTCCTCTATCCTTTTTGATGTCCACTGAAAATTTCAAGTTTCTGTGATTTTTGGTTTCGGAGATATGACCTCGTTTTTCAGGTCATGTCATGACCCAAATAGCCAATTCTCAACATCTTGCGTTGGCTATGGGCCTTGTGAGCTTTTGACACCTTGATTTCGGCCTTTTTTTGCCAGTCTTACCTCCCACCTATCATGGAACATGTTGTTCGACGATGTACAGGTGTCAAGGTCAGGGTCAATGTCAACCTAGGTCATCTAAGATAGGTAATTGCGTTTTAGGCAAGCTGAATTTACTTTTGTGAAGTTTTTTGACTGCATTTTTGGTAAAAGCTTCTCAGATCATGATTTCATGTAATATGGACACATAATGTAGAATATCCAAGACAGTTAGGATAAATGATAACAATAACACGTCAAATGTATATTAAACACACAAAGCTTTCGGTACGAAAATACCTTGATCACTGTGTTAACAGAAATGTGTTTAATATACTATAATTTAATATACTATAATAAATGTGATTTCTGTTAACACAGTGATCAAGGTATTTTCATACCGAAAGCTTTGTGTGTTTAATATACATTTGACGTGTTATTGTTATCATTTATGGACACATAAACAATCGGTGCACACATCAGTATACACAGACACACACAGACATACAAACATATATAATTGACCTTGACCTAGCTTGACCTGAAATGACATCAGCAGCAAAAATCTGGTCGGGTAGTGTGACAAAGAGGTTCTAGCTGGCTTGCACCAGAAAACGGCATCGTCATCGGTATATGATAAGCAGTGCACTTGATATCCAACGGTGACCCAAAACAGCAACATATTTTAGTTTGACCTGACCTGGAAGGTCAATGACTGACCTGAGAAGGTAAAACTGGGTATCATTGGATTTGTCTCTTCCCAAAGAATCTTTTTGGTCTTTACCGCTAAGCTCTATCTCCAACAGGAACGAAATGGCGCGGGGGGTGGTAACTGGTAACCACCCCCCCCCCGCCCATGTGCGTTCTAGGATGGGAAAATGGCATGTGCGGGCGAGGGTTAATAAAGCTCGTGGCGCATCGCGTCGCTCTCAGCTGTGATGTCACGCCACAACCAAAGGCCAAATCGTTCCCGAATCCCGGGACTATCAGTTGTCGCCACGGCACAAAGCATTTCTAACAGAATCTCGTGCTCGTAGTCCTCCATCCGGCACCCCACCCCAGTCGGATGACATCCGGTTCAAGGTCAACAATCACGTGACAGGCGGGCGGCCCAATCACAGCACACGGACACGGTCCGACACGGACGGCCTCGGGCGGCAAAGGAAACCACCTGACCTGATAACTTTACTAAAAAAAACAATGAGGACTGCATTTACTAAACGTTAAGTTACATCATGTGTCAGAATTTTGAATTCCATGCCATCCCAACTAAACCTATGAAATAAGAACTCCAAGAGTTCAGAGTCGCCTCCCATGACGTTATGAGATGTGTTCCTGGGACGTCCAACTCGCTCGTACAGGTTGATGTCCAGTCTGAGCATACCTCAGAGATGCACTCTGTTCACAGAAATAATGCATCTGGTCGGACCTGGGACAGACACAGCCATTTATCAAACTAATGCGTGCGGCCGGCACGGCGGCTTTTTACGGCCTCGGACAGCGGCCCGACGATCCATCTCGAGATATTACAAAACTCGGCCGAAATATAGATGCAATAAGCAGACGCGTGCATTTATCTTGATACGAGTGCTGTTCCGTTGAGGAAGACGGGCGTCTGGCGGCTAAATTGGGCTTCTCCCAACGGACGGGGCCAATCACACTGCAGGGAGAGAGAGTATGAGCGGCGGCGTATTCCGGATCGAGGGTAGAGTATGCAGCAGAGGGCTGCCTGATCTCGTCTATAGTGCGTGCACTGTCCGTATCTACATCTCCCCGGTCAAGGAGTAGCAGACAGACTGGCCACTGGGTACACATCTCCCGGTAATATCATCGTCACCTAATAACTTGTTATGAATAGCCATCTCTCAGCGCGAGCAATATCGCACTGGCCCGTCACACGTAATGCCGGGCTCATAAGGATCATCGCGGCGGGGTGAGCTGCGGGAATTTCACCTCTGCTGCAAATGACCACTGGTATACGCTTCCGGCATGACCAAAGTGGCTGTATGCTATATTGTGAGCAATAAGAAGGATCGGCAGGCAGCACCCAGTTACTTCTTCAGCCTTCATACGCTTTTTAGTTCGGAGCAGGATCCATGACCCAACTGCTGATTTTCTATACAAAAAAGTTTCGAAATGCGTACAAAAAGTGAAAAAACGGGTACCTACAAATGCATGCAGTCCGAAAATTTACTTTCGTTACGTACACAGAACGTCCTAGAAAAAGAACACCGTAACTGATCGATACCGATCAAAAGGATTTTTGAAAATACACATGATGCGTGGTCGTTGTTTGGGTCAAGTGTTGTCAGGTCTCAACCATAAAAAAGCATCAGTGCTCAGTTTCTCCTGGCTGAAGAGTGAAAAGTGCGTTTCTTATTCCAGGGGATGGGTTGGTTTGTTTTGCTCTCAGTAGTAGCAGCACTACAGGGCACGTTCACAGCACCCAAGTTTAGAACAAACTCTCAGTTATCGTCGTCTGGGGGACCTAGACTGAACCCATAAGGAACCTCTAAACATGACTCTCATGTGTAATAGGTAGGACAGCACCAATGCCAAGCATTGCATACGTATGGACTAAGTGTAAGACAACGAGTTCATGCTATTCATTTGTTCTGATTACCCGACTAGGAACGAAATAGGTAGCAAAATAAGCCTACGAAATGCGAGCATTCAATAATAAGTTTCTCATTTCTGGCGCAGAAAGTTTTATTTGCCTGTATCTAACTCCACAAATGCCAGAACCATAGTTCTCCCGGTGGACAGCACCGTAAGTGAAACAGCACGAGTTGGCACTTCATTTCCTGAGGCGGCTTGCTATCGCCTGGGGCCATCCTAGTCTCTCTTGCTAATTGCGCCGTTGGTCTTTACGATCGGCGGCGGATGACTGAGCTGGCGCGATGTCCAAGTTCTGGCGGCCCTGTCTGACACCAAGCTGTCCCCGGAGAGGTCCGGACGGAGCGGCCCCCTGATTACGTCACAGTCCGGGGAAACTGTCGGAGATGAATGGTCCCCCGGAGCGGCTGCAGTGTGCTGGAACCGAGCACCGCAGGGAAATAACGCCTAAAGTCTAAGAGTTTTTTTCAGAAGGGCGTATTTAGCAGACGGTGAGCGAACAATGCTCGACGTTTGAGCACAAACAAACCCAATTTATGTGCTATCGACGAGAAGATTAAACGTCATGGATCACTGCATCAGTCAACTTCAGTTCGTCAAGTTATCAAACCACTTTAACGATTATGACCGAGGCTAGTCGTTCTTCTGACTTCTCTCAATAACTGCCATGCAATTGGCCTCAGCCACTGCATCGTCGAGACAGCTCGACGCCCGCACTTTACATTCGAGTTCATCCAATCCCAAGGAAACCGCACTTATTGTATTGTCCAGCGTTGCAGCTCACTCCAGTAAATCATGTTAGCCACCTCATCTAAAAACATTCGAGCATCTCTCGCGCTCTGCATCTACATATACTCCAGGCACACCTCACAAACTTATCACACCTCACACTTCTACCTGATGCACTAATCCCTTGCAGAGCTGCCTGCAGCAGTACTTCATCGATCCCTGATGTCGGTCTAATATGGTCCCAATGAACCCACAGCCGGCTGCGAACCAGATCCCCGGCTTAACCCCATCACACTCCCTTCCACAGCCCCGCCACGGCACCCAGAAAACAATCCACACCGCGCTGAAAAATAGACGGCCACCGCGGAGAGCATCTGGAACATCCACGGAAATTTATCATCGATGGCTATTTATCGGATGTCTCGGTAATCATGCTATATCCGGGTCCCATGGAACGGTGAGAGCTGACCAACATAAAACTGTTGATAAAGTATATTTGTATCTAGCTTTTAACTGTCAACATATACTTTTTAATGTACTAATCTTTAACCCGCGAGTTGCTGGGGGGGGGGCGTTAAACGCCCCCACTTTTTTCGCCGGGCCATAGCGTAAAAACGGCGCGCCGCAGGCGCGCCAAATTTTGGGTACCTGTAGGGAATTGATTGAAGTTTATTGTGACAAAGTTTGAAAAAAATCGGTCAGATAATTTTTGAGATATCAAGGTTTTAGTGACGTCATGATTTCTGAGTTTTCGACCAAAAACGGCATATGTTCAAAAAATCATATAAAATCACAGAATAGACATACAGACATGCCGTAAACGCCATTAGAATGCCAATACCATGATCAATCAAATGGCTATCTTCGATTATTGATTATCGTTCCGCATTTTCCAAAATCTTGAACTGAATCTTGACAATTTCTCGTGACTACTTCACGACCATGATACATGAATTTCTGAAATTGAACTTTTTGAGCCAAACACGTACACATATGATAAAATGAATGTCACCATCGTGTTCTACGGCCCAAATTACCCATAAAACATGTGTCATAGGCTGCGAATATCAGTTTTGATTTTCGGGGATATGTGCCTACCCGGTTGACCTGACCTTGACCCTGACCTATGCTTGACTGCCCCCTACATGGAGCTGACACTCTTGTAGGCCTTATATGATGGATTGTGCACCGTTTTGACAAAGTTTCTGACGAGAGGCGCCCATTGCGAAGTCCTGAAGTCCATGCTACTGAAAGCCCGATTTCAGGTGTTTGACCTGACCTTGACCCGACCTGTGACCTCAAAATTCAACTTTGAAGTACTCATCTGAAGCGTCTCGTCGCGTTCTTTCGTTTGCC